AGACACGCACAGAGTCTTGGGCGGACGGGTTGTTTTGGACGGCAGTGCCTAGGACCCAGAGCACATGCCGTTGAATTTCTTCAGACGATGTGGGGTTGGTGAGAAGTGCATGCAAGGGCTCCCACATCTTGAGCTTTTCGAGGTCTGACGCATGCGCTCAGCGACGCGCGCGAGACGCAGGAAATAGTTGGCGGCACTCACTGTTCGCGTTGTCGATCTGCTCGACGAGCATCTCGAAGTCGTCCAACGCCTGCACCCTCTCGTCCTCGTCCAGCTTCTCGTCCACCGCCTTCCCCAGTGCCTCCTTCATGAGCACCGCGTCCGATTTGCCCAGGATCGCGTCGATGATCCCAGGGTCCAGGTCTGTACGCGGTTGCGGAGGTGGTCGGTTTGCATCTGCCGGTGTTGAGTTCGTGATGCCCCAGCGTAGAAGGCTTTCCATGGTGGGCGGTGTATTTCGTTTTCGAGGGTCGTCAACAGTTGGTCTAGAGATACAGTGTGAGACAGGCAGATATCCTTTGAAGGTGAAAACGGCTGGACCAAGCCCGAAGGCGCGAGAAGACGCGAGAATATCGGACCGCTCTGGCGCTCGACGCGGTCAGCCACACTTGCGTGACGCGTCTAAACTTCAAGCGGAGCCTCTCGGCTGTGGTGTCGGAGATCTATGTGATGAAACTGAGCTCATTTTCTCGACGAACGTGTGTTACGCGCCTGCCAACTTTTTCTCGTTCGTTGTATGCTCGTCTTCCTGTCCGAGGCCTGCACAACTTTGGTCTTTAATGCTATGTGAGTGAAGCTTCCGTTTGTTCCTTGGTGATGATACAACCTTCATACCATACAACCTGCCGAAAACACATGAGGACAACCTATCTTCAGTTTCAGCCTTGGCTGACCTCTCGAAAAAATCGCTCGTCCATGACCTGCCGCTGACCGTCCCTGTTCTCCGCAGATAGTCCCTGGCTAAACACGCCGCAGAGATTGAAACTGAGTATACTGGTAAGTTTTTTTGCTGCTTGGATTTTGCGGATGAGATTCTTTCGATGGGCGGACACGAATGTCCCTGGCCTACACCAAAGTCTCCCGGTGTACAATGTGGAGATGGGTTCGGGGACCTGTTGATACGCATCGAGTACCTGATCTGTTCCCTTTGCTTCTGGGGTCCCTAAGTGCCCATTGCTCACGTCTACTCGTCCATTTTGTAGGTGCTCATTGCGCTCCTCAAATCTGGCGTGCTCGTGGCGTGCTCTGAGTCAAATTTTGTGTGTTCTGCCATGTATTATGTGTATATTAGTGTCAATACATTTATCAGTACCCTGTCATCTGAATGGCTTGAGCGGTGTAGACTTTAGCCTTGCGCGCACACACGAAGAAAGTCCGAGCGCTCCGCGCGCCCAGCTGACATCCGGTCCCCTGTTCCGAGCCTTCATCGTCGCGTTTCCTTTGGCCTGGACAACTTGCCCCGGCACCCCCATGACCTCCCCATAGCCCTTCTCAACACAGTTTTACGTCTACCTCTGTCGCAATGGGTGGCTTTAGACGCATCATAGCGGCCGCAGTCGTCGCCCCCGTCGTCCGCGACTACGTCCACTCCCGCGCCTCGACGGACTCGGACGATTCAGACGGAACCGTCATCCCCTCTCGCTCCTCCCAGTTCATCGCTCAACACCTCTTAAGCTCTCAAAGCCCGGACGAGATGACGCGTAGGCCGCTCCTGCCCGTCTGGAGACTGAAACCGTGGCGAGGCAAGGGGCGACGTATGGGACGATGCTAGGAGAGACTCCGCATATGCGGACGAGTCCCGAACGGCTCAGAAGAGACAGTTGGTTGGACCGTGTCCCGGAGGAGGTTGCGGTGGATGGCGATGGATGCTTACAGCGCGGAAGAAGACGAGTGGGACTTGGCGGAACTGGGCTACTACAGCGGTGAGTACTACACCTGACCTTTCCTAGTTCAAAGCTCATGGATCCTCTCCAGGATCGTACAAAAAGACACTTGCGCTCTATTCCCTCGTCCCTTTGACTGCTGTCGTCGTGTTCGTCCTCTTGGCGCTCCTTCCGCAATGGTTCTGGCCCATCCCGCAACCCACCCCAAGACTTTGCCCCGCTCGCTCCCCTCTCCGTTCGCTGAGCTATTGCTCTCTATCTCCTTCTTCACGCTCTCGCATACCCTCCGCGGGCCGCTCTACGCGCTCGCCTCCGCAATCTGCCCGCGCCTCCTCGACACCGTCCTCTTCAACGCGCTGCACTCCCTTCTCGCGCTCTCCTCCGCCTCGCCTCAGTCGCGCTCCTCCGCGTGCGCCACGCAGGCGCACCCCGCCGCCGACGTGGGACGACGGCGACGGTGTATTCCGTGCGCTCTGGTGGCTCGCGCTGGGCTGGGCCGCCGCGGAAACCGCCGCGGCCGTCGCGCAGGGGTACGCGCAGCTCGGCGCGTACCGCAACGTGATGGTCCCGCTCGAGCGCGTGCGCGCCATCCTCGCGCAGTCGCGCACGCAGCCGCCGTGGGGCACGGGCACGGGCTCGGGCCTCGGCTCGAGCAGCGGCGAAGGGAGCAGGGAGTACATGCCGCTCAGCCCGCGGAGCGAGCGGCCGGACCCGCTCGAGGGGGCCGGGAGCAGGAGGGCGTCGGGCCGGTGAGCGTGGAGAGGCGATCCGGATGGCGGTGGACCAGGACGTGGAGCAGCTCATCAACCTGCAGGAGCGCGAGGAGCTCGAGGAGGTATACGGGATGCCTGTGATTGTGAGTGTTCCCCTCCCTCCGCCCGCGGGATCGCCCCGGCGCCCTGGGACGCGGAACTCTAAAGCTGACGTCCGCGCCGCCCGCAGTACATCCCCGTTCTCGTCCGTGCCTGCAGCGCGTAGATTCGTTCCTGTTCTCGCTCGCCTCCACCCTCGTCCTCGCCTGGGCGTTCCTGCTCTCCCCGCTCGCGTACCCCGCGGACGCCGCGCCGCCCGCCGGCGCGTCCACGCACGCGCTCGCCGTCGCGTTCCCCGCGCGTACGCCGTGCACCTCGCGCTCGCGCTCCTGCACGCGCCGCCGGTCCTTCCGAAGATCGGGGTGCACACGGCCGCGTACGTCGGGCTGCTTGTCGGCCTCGGCGGGTTCTTCGTGGGCCTCGGCCTCTGGGACGCGTTGACATAGTGGGCGCAGTACATGGCGTGAGGCGGGACAGGCACGATCTGTCTACGAAAACGTGGTGGGGGTGGATGTACCTTGTTGCTGGTTGGATCACTGGAGAACATGTATTGATGCACATTTATCTATCATTATGCTCGACCTGTCATGTCAACGATGACAGGAGCGGATATCGATCGTCATATGCATGGGCCGTTTCGGCTCAACCTTCAACTCTCGCCGTTTACAAGATCTTGTGCGAACGCTCAGACCCAGCCAAAACTTGAACGATTGAAATCGATTCTCAACGAATACCCGTTGATTAAAATGCCTACATCTAATAAAATCGATTCAAAACAATTGGAAAAAGGCTTGGGGTGCCGTGTGTGCTGCGCGTTCTCCTGAGATTCTCTCACGGGTGCTGCTGGTGCTGTCGGACCCGGCGCTTCGGGACGGGACAGTTGCTTGCACGCCTTGCAAGGGGAGGCGTCTAGCTACGAGGGGGAGGACGGGCGTCGGGAGCGCCCGAAGCATGTCGCGCGCGGACGCTGCACGCAGGCGCTTATCTGATACCGCGCGCACTGCGCCTGCCTCCATCCTCTTGCTCTCGTCCTCTCTGTCACTGCTTTCCCCCTGACGTCTCCTCCGGCAGACACGCGTCGCATCGACCGCCTGAAGGACGCTCTCCCTCTCACCGACGCTTGGCAGGCTCTATGGAGAGCGAAAACGACTCATCCAGTTCCGACCGCGCGCGGGCCCGCCGGAAACAACAGTGTTGGTGCGTTCGATGCTGCGGTGCTTTCCGCTGTAGGAAAACCATAAGGAACCATCGCGCAAATGCTCGGGCTACGTACCAGCCACCTCTTCAGCAGTTTACGACGTCCACCCCATCGACATCGCAAGCCGCACCTCGAAAGCGTCGACGGCGGAGGTCTTCCGTTCAAGCCGGGCGGGCGCTGGTGGATGAAACCGGAGAAGGTCATGAAGACAATGCGTCGGGAGAGCCGTCAAAACGGGTCCGTCTCGGCGAGCTTTCAGAAGCTGGCGAGAACATCGGTGGTACAGAGGTAAGTTTATTTGCTTGCTTGCAGAGTTGCATCCGCTTGATATGAGATTCGGACGGTTTAGACAGCATCCAAGGACGGTTCCGATGGGGCACCGCTCAACACAGCTGGCGACGCTCTGCCAGTTCATAGCCGTCCTGGTTCGCCCTTCGTGCCCTCCCCTCCGCACTCCCCTCCGCGCTCTCATCTGCCCCTCGGCCACTTTCGCCTCCATGTTCGCCTCCGCATTCTCCGCATTCTGCTCCCTCCCTGCCTCCGCACTCCATTCCGGGTTCTCCCCTTTTACCGCACTCCTCGCACCTACCTCATACTTCCATGGAGCCTGCCGCGGGCCCGGATGACGTCCCCCATCTACGGGAGTTTGCCCTTCCGTTTACCTTTGTACCTGTGCCGGACGATATCAATGAAGAGACCACAAGTTCCCTCGGACTGCCGCATGCCGTTGTGTACGACGAACTCAAGACGGCTCTTGCTTTCAAGGAGGCCCTGGAAAAAGCGTCTTTGGACGAGGACGGCTTTGATGAGGACACCCTTTATCGCCTTCGAAACCCTCTTGAAACCCCTGTCGATGCGGACCCCCGCCTCCAGGACCGAGGCTTTAAGTTCGCTCTCAGAGTGTTTTTCGATACGGCCACTGCGTCCGATAGCCTGTACTCCAGCATTTGTTTGAGCTATGAGGCCGAACATCCTGACTCGTCCATGCCCTCCCATCACAACATGAAAAAATTCATTGCAGAACTTACTGGAATCACCCCCATCACTCGTGACATGTGTCCGCACTCTTGCGTGGGCTATACCGGTCCGTGGTCAGATCTCGAGAATTGTCCAGTCTGTGGTGAAGCTCGCTATGAGGACAACCCTGGATCAGAGAGAAAACCTCGTCGGACCTTTGACACAATCCCTATCGGTCCGCAGCTTGTTGCTCAGAGTCGTGACCCGAAGAACGCGGAGAGGATGCAGCATCGCAAGAAGCAAACTGCGCGGATCCTGGAGGCACTACGAAAGAACGGATACGTCACCGACGAGTACAGCGACGTTTATTACGGCGAAGATTACATCCAGGGTGTTGAATCGGGCACGATCGGGGAGGACGATATCGTGGTCATGCTCTCTATGGATGGCGCGCAGCTCTATCGCAACAAGCAGTCTGACTGCTGGATGTATATCTGGGTCATACTCAACCTCGCACCAGATCAGCGGTACAAATTGAAGTACATCCTACCTGGTGGCGTCATACCAGGGCCAAACAAGCCCAGCCATGTCGATTCCTTCCTCTTCCCAGGTCTACATCATTTCGCCGCACTCGCAAAAGAGAAGCTTGCCGTGTGGGATGCAGCACAGATGCGCGTATTCTACCAAAAGCTCTTCCTCCTTCTCGCAACTGCGGATGGTCCGGGAATGACTTACCTGAATGGGTTGGTTGGTCATCAAGGCGCCCAGGGATGCCGCCTATTCTGCCGCCTTCGAGGACGTCATAAGCCCGGTGCAACAACCTACTACCCTGTGCTGCTCAAACCAGACAACTATGCAGTTGAGGGCTGTGATGGTGGCGATTACAATCTGCTGGAACATGCACCGGACACTACTGCTCAAATTATCGAACGCTATGAACGTAGCCTCGAGGAGTTGCTCACAGCTCAGAATGACAGTCAATACAAGAAGTTGCGCCTGAAGACAGGGATTGCCAAACCAAGCCTGTTCCGCGGCCTCCCGCAGGGCTCGTTTTTAGGCACTCCGGTTGGATTTCCGGCAGATCAGATGCACCTGGTTTCTCTGAACCTCACCGATCTCCTTGTATCGCTTTTTCGGGGCACCATCAAATGCGAAACTACTGACAAGAAGACTGAATGGGGCTTTGCTGTCCTTCAGGGCGATGCTTGGAAGACACATGGCGCACAGGTGGCAGACTGCACCCGATTTCTCCCTGGTTCTTTCGACCGTCCTCCACGTAATCCGGCCGAGAAGATCAAGAGTGGCTACAAGGCGTGGGAGTTCCTCATGTACATTTTCGGTCTTGGTCCTTGTCTCTTCTATGCCTCCCCACTTCCCATTGAGTTCTTTCGCAACTTCTGTCGCCTTGTTCGGGCCATTCGGATCACGTTGGCATATACAATTCATGCGGACGACCTCGTGGAAGCACACAATCACTTTGTGCAATTCTCGACCGAGTTCGAGGAGTTGTACTACAAGCGCCGCCCAGATCGTCTCCATTTCATTCGACAGAGCATCCACGCCCTCTCACATATTTGCCCAGAGGTTCACCGCCTTGGCCCGCAAGCATGCTACACACAATGGGTGATGGAGCGGGCAATTGGCTCTTTTGTACAGGAGCTTCGAAACCATTCCAATCCCTACGCAAATCTCTCAGAGCGTTTCATCCGGAGAGCCCAGCTCAACGCACTCAAGGCCATGTTCCCAGGGCTGGAGCACTCGAAGTACAAGACCGGAGAGTATCCGAAGGGTGCCGAGGAAGTTGGATCTGGATATGTGCTGCTGCGGGCAGTAGACGCGAAGGAGCACACGATCCGCACAGCGGAGGGCAAGGCGCTGCGGGATTACCTTCGCAAACATGACCCTGTGAATGGTCGCCGCTATAAGAAGGGGCACACCTTCCGGGTGAAGCGCTGGGCAGGCTACTTCTCCCAAACGGCCAGATTGCGAGGTCGTACTGGAAAGAGGGTGGGAAGCCAAGGTCGAGTAAGCTCCGTGTCTCCCGTAACGTCAAGGTATTTTTTTTCAGACTGGTCACTGAAGTAGAGCCATACTTACCGGATTAACAGATCATACACAACGGAGAGATTCGATATGGGGAAGTGCAGTACTTCCTGCAGCTCAACATCGGAGCTCAAAAGCAAGCCGTCGCCTTGCTATCACTCTGGAGCCTGCCAGAGCCGCAGCTCCTCGAGTTATCTTACAGCACCATCCATTCCTGTCTTCCCAGTGGGGACGAGGGACTTGTCATTATCCCCGTGCACTGCATCCAGTCCGTTGTGGCCATGATTCCCCATCCAGCGCACATCCCTTCCAACGACGGGCATATTGAATATCGACCGGTCAACGTGGCTGGTCGCTGGTGTGTCGTCGAGAAGCCCGGGCTAGAAGTAGCGTACCATGCCGGGCGGAACGAAGATATATTTGCACAGGATGAGGGTAATGGAGAAGGTGGACAGGGCAGTGCGGAGACGATGAGAGGGGATGACTAGTGTATAACGATACCATACATTTCAATGGCGCATGCGATTGGGAAGGATCCTTGGTCCCACGCACGCGGCACATCGCTGAAATTGCGTATATGGTTCTGTCTAGGGACATGCACAACCGATGCAGGTCACCGGCCAGGGTCGTACGCGTGAGGACTGCATGACCCTCGTGAGTTTGGGCGTGCATGGACGAGTTCGTCGGATGTGGAAAGAGAGGGCACACCGTGCGTGCCCACAGCTCATGAGCCTGCGTCGCCAGCCGCGTCGCCCAGGCGTAGAAGGGTGCCGCTTGGGTAGTCTGGCGGACACCGTTGGCTGCGCATTCCTCCTGCCTGAACGCGTGCCTGCGACGCCGACCCACGGACTCCGCGTGCACTCGGCCATGCGGGAATATGCAGAAGATTGAGTGGCACGAGCTCACCTTTGTGTACCCGTCCACCTCGAACCTCTGAGGGGTGGGCGAGAGCACGGGGGGCGAAAGGGCTTCAGGGAGATTGGCCATTGTGGCCCCGACTCCCGCTGAACATCGTGGCCGCCTTCAGCTGGCTGGAAGACACAGGCCTGATCGCGCAGGAGCGCGCCCGAGACCGAGGGCGGCGCGATGGGCGCGTTCTGGGTGAACGACGAGCGTTCGCCGCGGATGAGGCGGAGGAGGATCTCGAGGATGTTGTCGGTCTCGACCATGGGCATGCGGAGGAAGCGCTGGCGCTCCGTCGGCTGGCCGACGTTGGAGTTGGCCGCCCATCATTCGAGGACGGTGAAGATGGTCGGAGCCTGGATGAGGGTGGCTTGTGAGTACTACAGACCAGAATGGTGCAATGGGGTGACGCGCTGGATCGGGATCTACGACTTCCGCTCTCTTCTCCCATCCGTCGGCGGCGTCACCCGCGACCCAGAACATCCGCCTGAACATGCTTCGTAGCCATTCTTGGACATCGCGGGCCTCGGGCCCCGACAAAAACACGAAACGGGCTATGCCCATCCTATACGACGTGTTGTTAGCACGGGGACAAGTAGTGAAAAGGAAAGCATGCACGTCCTCGCGCAGGCGTGCTCCACAGAGGAGTGCACGCCCCCACACCTGCGCCGAGGCCGGCTGCCCGGGCGACAGGGACGAGTTTGTGGGAGCGTGCACACCGCTGGCAGAGAGGCCTACACGAGGGCGTGAAGAAGCTGCGTAGAACGACGGGCGAGTGTGGGCAGAGGGAAGGGATAGGGATGGACTCACCCATTCCGACGTAAAAGTCGTCCTGCGCGCGTACCACGGTTTGGAGCCTCCCGACGTCAAGAGATCGAGCTGAGCGTGTCACGAGGGCTGTCTGAACTATGCGAGGTGGTATCAGGCGGGAGCACACCTAGGTATCAGCATGCGCCGCTCTTTGGCAAACGACCCGGTACTCACCGGGGTGGTCTTGCTTGTGCACAGCGAAGGCTCGCGGGTAGATGTGCTCTCGGCGTAGGCGCCGGGAAGGCGCACCGCGCGTCGTCTGTGCGCGCCTACGGTGCCGATTCCTCTGGTCCCTTCCCCAGCCGCCACTGGCGCACCCTCCTCTCCCATCCTTTCCTCCACCTCTCGCCCGATCGCATTTCGGTCTCTTGAACCCCCACGCCCTCTTCTCTCCACACCAGATCGCAACCGGCGTGTACGCGAGGCGGGAAGACCTCGTGCGGGTGCTCGCTCTTCAACTGCAGCCGCGCGCGATGTATGCTACGACTCGCAAAGGTACGTCGTTTCTCTCTACGGCGCGTTCATTCCCCCACTGTGCCCCACACCCCTGTCGCTCCGCCGGAGCGCACGATGTCACGCATGAAGATGGGCTCACGCTCGCAAAGTGTTCGCAGCACTCGACAGACCAGCTCCCGTACTAGAAGAGCAGGGTCGGGGACCTCCGATCTATCTGCCACGAGAGAAGTCCATCCGGGCGTGGCGCATGCAGCTCGGCCGGCTAGGTCTCTAACGAGTGCACCAGATGTCGCCCATCAAGCAGCACTCAGACGGTCTCCGGAATCGGTAAGTCTATTGCGCGCTGTTGCAGAGCTGGAGGGAGGCTGACGAGCAACCGCAGTGTCGTGTTCACGCGGCTGACGATGGAGCACCGCACATTCTCCTGCTCGACAAGCCGACAAACCGTTTGGACATGATGGCGGTCGAAGATAGATCGTGCAGGCGATCATGAAGTGCGAGCACGGCGTCGTCATCGTCTCGCCCGACCTCCGTGAGTTCGCTCTTCTCTTCCTCTGGATCGCACGGCGCACGCTGACGGTACCTCTCAAGGCTGGTCTCGCAAGTGGCCGATGAGTTCTAGGAACACGACAAGCCCTGCCGCCCGCGGACACCCGAGCCTACTGACATGGGCATGACCGAGGACAATGAAGAGCAGGAGCCCAACTCGTTCCGGCAATTCACCACTACCCTCCGCCCGACCTCTGCCTCTCCTCCCGCATCCGCCCCCGCTATCCCGGACGAGCTCAGCGACCGCCTCAACGCGCTCGCCATACAGCTCGAGATGGCGCTCGAGCTCTCGCGCTCCCTTGAAGCCCAGCACGCCACCGCCCAGTCAACCATCTCCGTCCTTGAGTCCAAGGTCGCTTCACTCGAGAACATCGTCCAAGACACGCAAACACAGGTTCTGTCTCAGGTCGAGGTCACCGAGCAGCTCGTCCAAGCATCTGAGTCCGCCCGCGCCGCGCCGCGCGAACCCACCGTCCCCGTAGCTGCGGTCGAGGAGGCGAGGAAGGAGGAACCCGAATCGCTCACCTCGATGTTCGCCGGGTGGAAGAAGAATGTCGAGGGCAAGTGGAGCAGCGTGCACGAGGACTGGACGGAGGAGTGGGAGCGTCTCCGGCGAGCCAGGGACGAGTGGGAGAGCCAGATGCGCGCCGCCAAGGAGGCCGTCTCCACCGCTGCGACGAAGGTCGAGAACGGTCCCATGTCCCTGGCGTCCTTTCAAGCGCACCAGCAACAGAAATTTATGAACGGCAACACGAAGCCCCATTCCAGCGGCGGTCTCGTCACCCCTCCCAGCCCTCGCTCCCTCACTGCCGAGTCCACTCGCCCCCGAAACCGGAGGAAACGCGCCGCGTCGCGAGGACACACTCGGTCTCGGTCTATCTCCCCCTCACCCACCGACGATGGCGATGACAAGTTGGTCTCGCTCGATGCCACGAGCAGTGAATCATCATTCCCTGGCCCACGGCAACGATCGCCATGGTCTGTCGACGACTCGAGCGATTCGGAGGGCACGCACCCGAGCGAGTCTGGAGACGTCCCAGAAGGCTCGCGCAAGATGCCCTTCCCCATCACCCCAAGTCGAGCGTCGTCAACCAGCCGATATCGGCTGCAATCGCCAGCACCAGCGCGACAACGGACGCACGACCGCCTCCCTCCGCCAAAGCATCTGTGAGTCCCGACGCACCCTTCCCTGGCCCCTTCCCTCCCGCTGATCGGCTGGACGTGTCTTCGTTCTCGGTCCAGTATCCACTCCATCAGGTTCAAACGGTCTTCGGCGTCACGGTCTTGTTAGTCGCAGCAGCAACAGTAGTATGGCGGGTGAAACCGGAAGTGGCAGCATAGACGGTTCGGCGGCGGTAGCAGCAGCAGCGACAACACAAAATCGGCATGTACCACTCGTCTGTAGGCATCACCCCCCGCTACCCTCATCCCGCGCTCCCTCCCAGCCCTTTCCCTCCGCCCTCGGTCTCTACGTCGTCCGGATCTCCTTGTCTTCGTCTGTCATACTTGTCTACTATGTGTCCATAACTAGATTAGTACTCCGAATCCCCCTCGCCTCAGTGCGCGGCATCCCCCTCCATGTTTTCCCTCTTACCACCCACTGAGTCTACTCGCCCCTGAAATTGGAGGGAACGCCGGGTGTCGTGAGGACGCACCCAGTCTGGTTGTCATCGAACACCCACACCGCACCGTGTTCTTTCTACCCAAACTTATACCCTGGTTAGCGGCCTCCCCTCACACAAGTGACCTGGCAGTGCATCTTGGTGAGTGACATTTTGGCATTTCACTGCGTTCGGCAACGCAGACTCGCACGTAGTACTTGGGTATTTACTGACGTCCTTCCCATAGCTCTTCTGCTTCAATGATTTGCTATCCCGTCAAATAGACAACCGCAGCGCGCAGCCGCCGCACAGCCAGCCCGCCGGGCGCCCCCGCACCAGCTGCATTTACACCTAATGCGACAGATCCCACTGCTGCACCATCTGTAAGCCATTCAAAACATGGTTACACCCGCTGTCACTCACCTGCCCGTCGCTCTAGTTTTCTCGACGACCTTTTTGGGCCTCGCCCGGTCCCGGGATGGGCTACTAGTGACGGCGTAGACTGACAAAGGTGCGTTTTTTCTCTTCCCACCTCTCCTGCTCTCGTCCATCATCTCTTCGTCGCGTCATCTCCAACATGGACGAGACCTATCCTTTCCTTCATAACCCTCACTCCTCCGATTATAATGACGACGATATTAGATCTGACCCACTTCTTCCACCGTATCCAAGGATGTCGACAACGGAAGCCCGCTCCATGGACAACCAGGGCCGTTGGTTCGAACAAGTATGTCGCTCACCCTGTCATCAATCGTCTAGGCTGACGAATATCCAGGACCAGGTGTTCTCGACGCCCTCTCCAGCTCCCTATACTCCTCGGCTTCCCTTGCCCAGCCCCCACCTCAGCTTGGTGTGCGATATCGTGCTCTTCAAGAAGCGCATCAGAAGCTCAGAGATGCATATGCCGACTTGAAGGACCGGCATGCACGTCTGGAGTTTGAGCTCAAAACTGAACGGTAAGATACGCCGTTCTCCCCCGATATCAGACTAATGATGTACAGCAGAACCTTACGCTACGAGCTCGTCCAAGGTCTATCCATCAAGCTTGGTGGTGCGGCACCATCTGCTCTGCAAGTCCCTCAACCACCACTGCGAAAAGCCGACCATCTCAAAGTCAAATTCTGGTACAAGCACGAATGGCACGCGTACGACAAGGCCCGCCGAGCCCAGACAACCATCACAGATCCAGCCAAGGATCTCACCACCGAGCAGCCTTTCTCTGACCACGAAGACAACGACCTAGAAGGTAACGACAATGATGGCGACGACGAAGACCTTGAAGATCTGGAGAAGAGTGACGGGGCACAGGACGGCACGACAAACTACGATGCGGCCAAGGGAGACAAGACGAACGGCCCTCAGCCTGGCAAGCGTGGCCCCGCACGCGCAGCCCAGGGCCACAACGACACATTCCACTTCGTTGAGGATGTCAACGGGAAACCTGTGAGTGGAAGTATCTGCCTCGATATCCGGGCTCGCGCGCGTTGCTTTTGGGATCGGCTGGCGAAAGAAGGACGTGCCCCTGCGACCTGGAGTGATGCGAGTATCAGTATCAAGAACGCCTTTGTGGCAGAGATGGAAGATGGGTACCCAGATTTGCGGCTCTGCGAAGCTCACTACAAGACACACATGGTCGCCACGAAAGGTTACTCGGGATGGTACAAAACACACGTTTTACAGAAAGCTCCCTACGGTGACGGTGAGCAGTCCCCGCACTCCACCACTCGCAAGAGGCGCCACTCGAAGGAGCCCTCGAACAGCTCACGCAAGAACAAGAAGGCTCGGAAACAGGCTCTCGAGTTGACGGTGCCGCTGCCCGGCGTGCCCATCGCTGTGGGTCATCCAGTTCCGCCATCGGCCTCGCAGTCCTCGCTATCGAATGCGTTGTAAGTGCTCTGTACTACTTTCTTGACACCAGACTTACTCTCATCGGACTAGTACTGACCTGATGCAGAACGGCCTGACTATCAGCACCCCATCGTCACCTGCAGCTGGGAGCACAGAGGTTCCGACTTCATCTCAATGTGCGACGGCGTCCACGGTCACGACCCTTCGGCCTCCCACGTCTGCGGAAGCCATGCCTGCGGAAGCCGTGTCTGCGACTGTGGCACCCAGGACCACGACTGCGACGTCCGCAGCAGCGTCACCCTCTGGGACAACAGCGTCCATGAGTACGGCTCCCGAGACGACACCAACCAAGATTGCCGAGTCAGCAATGTCGGCGACTACGGCGACGCTCTCCAAGACGTCCATGTCCCCAGCCCAGGTTGCCGTCGCAGCTGCTCCACGGACACGGAGCGCATTGTAAGTACTTTGAATTTGTATCTGTGCACGGCACCCATATACTTACCGTTCTGCTTTCAGCACTATGTTTCTGGAAGATCGAGCTCGTGTTGCTATTGCGCCCATGACTGCGCTCCCAGCCTCTCAACAGGTTTCGACTGCCTCTCCGGCCCCCACTTTCCCGACATCTTTGATGCCGATGGGCACGCTCCCTGCTTCTTCAACATCAGGCCCCACCGTGCCAGTCTCGATACATAGTAGCGGGCCTCTCGCACCTGATATATTGCGTGAGTATGCATAGCTTGCACTATTGGCAGCCGGTTCGCATCTAACATAATTGAACAGCGACTACAGTGCCTCACGCACCTCAATCGCCAAGCACGGGCACCACAAGTGGCGCCGCCACGTTGGCGAGTTCTGCACCCAGCGGTCCCCTCGACGTCCTTGCTGCAGCAGCGGCCACCTCAAGCCGAAGCAATGAAGCACCGGAGTCGCGTACGAATGTCCCAAAGCCCAAGCCGAAACCCAGGAAAGGGGCGGTCTTCGCTGTCAAGAAGGACTGCTTCACCGCACGGTATGTGTCAGCCTCATGTCATGTAGTCATAATCTCATGTGTGCGCTAGAAACCTCTGCGGCATTGACTGGCTCAACGACCACCCTGGAGGCCTCTCTAAGGATTTCAATGGCTACTGGCAGGAGGTGCAGAAAATGCCCGATCTTCTCAAGGTTGGTGTGCCGGTGCACTTGACCCCGTCTCGCAGCTAACACAACTTTCACTATTGCAGAAGTACGAGGACAAACGCAAGGCCTGCGTAAGTCTCCACATCACTCATCTAGTACGACTTTGTTGATGTCGTTGAACACGAACAGCTGGAGGCCGCGAAGGCCGCGTAAATGCATCTATTCATCCATAGGTAGTGTGCATCTACGCCCCCTTTTCATCTGTCCGCTGACCAGTCTCGTATCTGCAGTCTCCTTTGGTGCCCGTACGCAGGATTGAGGATAGGGCAGGCGCTGCTGGGGGTAGACTACAATCGTTTTAATTCGTTTGGGGATAGATTCGCATTCATTCGGGAATGTTTCGCATTCGTTTGGGAATAGATCAGCAATCTTTCGCATTCGTTTGGGAATCAATCGCCAAATGTTTTGGATCGGGCAGTACTCGATGCGCGTTTGATGACAAATGAATTTGAATCGACCGACAATCAAACAAATCACACAGAACATGAGATCAATTGATAGCACTCGAAAGTAATCGATCACGGTCGATTGAAAATCCATTGCTTTTCCCTATTGCGATTTATATTGATTGGTGCACTGGCAATCGTTTTGAATCGAAAACAATTGTTCAAGTTTTGGCTGGGGCTCAGATCGCGGGTGAATGACGATGAGCGCTCTGAGGGTAAATAAGTGCCGAGCTTAGTCAAGCTTGAACGTTTGAACGATGGATGTGAGTTCGAAATGCCGTAGGGATCATGACATTTGGAAACTACCCTCGAGTTCATGGAAAGACCGAATGAGCAACTTTTAATGGCCAGATTCCATTATTTTTCTCATGGGATTGAGAACAGCGGCTAGAACGCAGCTTCCAGAGATGATCGAGAACACAACCGAGAGTATGAAAGGGGACTGGGATCTTAAATGTACTGGTCGTGATTTCGAGCATGTCAGAACCCAAGGAATTAAGATCTAGGGTTAAGAAATGTCGTGGTCTAACCACCACCGTCTTCGCCCCAATTCTACTGGTTTATTGACAAAGTTTTGAGTAGTTAATACAGACGTCTGGGCTAAGTTATACGGTCCTCTGCTCTCCAACTTTGGGAGGCCGGAACGCCCAGACCAACGGGGCTGGGAGCCAATGTGCGCTGCTTTTTCCAAAGATCACGGACGGTTAGTGATTTATTTGTTGTAATTTTGAGCACGTTTTCTCGCGGAGTGTTCATGAATCGCACTGGGCCGCCATCGAGCGGCACTCTTTATAACGATGATGTCATAGGCCCTGATCCGAATTCTCACCAGTTGCACTCACCTGAGAAGTCGCGGGGAGGACCTACAGTGGACGATAGCTAGAGTTCGCATTTCCAGAGACCTTGAACACGAGCAAGTTGTTCACTGTCCCCCATGTTCAGATCATTGCATGTGAATTGGCTAGTCCGCCCCTGCACAGCTTTCATTACCCATCATTACGCCCGATCGCAGCATCGGGCGTCGACGACTCAACAATCGCGCACAAGCGGCATAACCAGTACTTTACATATGCGGGCCAGTTGAGCTATATCCGTCTTGACCACCTCGGGCAGTGAAACTAGATCGTTCAGCCACTACGATTTGTGAGCACTGATTCCGGCTTGCCTCCGCAGCTTTTAGTCTTGTTCCGCTGATCCAATAATGCACTATTGCTGAGCGGGCTGCTCGGCGAGCGTTGTTCCGACTGCGCGCTCAGCCATGTGGATCCTCTTACCTCCGTCTTCTGCTTGAACAAACGCCGCTGAAACCACGCTCATGCCCGCATCCCATTCGGGAGTGTCGTGTACCTGCAACGGAGTTCATTACACCCGGAGTGGCTGAAACCGAGACCTCTACTTGACACCTTGCCTCATGCATCATCCGTCGGCCGTCGGGCTCGGTCGAAGGGAACTTATCTGAGACGCATTGCCTCTTACAACCCCCTGCGCTGGTTGCCAGAAGCGTGAGTCTGTGTGCCTCGACGGTGGCGCGCCATCACTCCCGATATGGGCACGCGCGCTGGGGCGTGCTCAGCCGTCATTGACCTTCCCCGCTCCAAGTTGCCCTTCGCTCCTTTCTGCCCCGCCCCGCGCCTCTCACCCACCACCTCATAACCCTACGCGCATCGCACACCGCCTCACGGTCCCCAACTCCACCAGCTGCGCCCGACGCTCGCGCGACCGACAACCCCGCTCGTGTGCGGCGTTAACGGGCTCTACGCGGAGCACAAGTTGTACAACGACTTGCCCGCCCCGTAGCTCAGACACGCAGCCGCGCCCCTCCACCGCTCGTTGCCCCCGTCTTCTCGTTCCTCCTGCGCCTCTGACCACCCACACACGTCGCAGTCGCCGCCCCCGTTGGTGGAAGCGCCCGTTTTGTCGTCAAGGCCCCGCGCCACCAGAGCCGTCACCCAGAGCCAACCGCTGTAGGAGCAGGAGCAGGAGCAGGCACCGTCGCAGCGGCTGGCCGAATGGCCGCGGTATTCCTCCACAATGCGATCTTCGCCGCCGAGCCCCCGACGCCGCCACCACCGTCGCTGTCCTCGCACGCGCACTCGCACCGCGGCGGGCCGTTCCTCGTCCTCGTCCTCGTCCTCGCCCTCGACCGCCGAACCCCCCCGCCGCGCGGCGCCGCACAACCGCACGCTCTCCTCCGTCTCGTCTCTGCACACGACCGCAGTCTCCGAGCTCTCGCACCCGACCGAGCCCCTCCTCCGCCCGAACTCGTTCGCGGACTCGGCCTCCTCAGTCTACCTCGGCCTCCTCGCGCGCCAGCCTACACACCCCGACGCACCGACGGTCGGCATGGGACTCACCTTGCAAGGCGATCCGCTCACCATGCGCGAGAAGCGCGTGCAGCGCGAACGGGCCGTCAGGAAGCTGCTCAGGAGGCTCCGATGGGCCAAGAGGGCACTGTGGGCACTTATAGGTGAGTATATGCGCTATTCTACTCCCGCGCTACGTACCCCCGGGTCCGTTGTCAAGCAATCATGCCCACTGGGGCCGCAATCGCTGTTGCTGTCGAGGAGTTGGGAGGAAAGGGGGTGGGGACTGTGCGGCCCATCTGGTTGCGATGGGACGGTCGGAGTCAATGGGCGGTCGCGGAGTGGCAAGTGGTCTAGCTCTGCGTCTCTTTCGCGCACCGCGTTCGTGCTCTCCATTCTCCGCGAACCGGTGCGTGATCAGAGACTCCACCGGACAGTCTGTGTGTGGGACGCCGGTTCGCACCACAGAGGACTCCGGATGAGTAGCACGCCCCTGCAGGAGAGACATTGTCACCGCGTCACCTCTCTGTTCCCTTCCGCGAACGTACAGATGGCTCTGAAAGCGGACTAGCTCCCTGCCCTCTGCGTCGAGTTCGTCCTCGTTGAACAGTGACGTCAGCCGGTGTTGGTACCGGTCTCCGCAGACGCCCTCGTTTTTCGGCTTTATCCCGCATTGGCCCCTTGTCAATGCATCCGTGCTGCGTCTTTTGAATCCACACCCCGCGAGGGTGCATGTGTTGTAACTCAGACAAAGACGGGGAGCCTCGAACCTTTCAGGCACTGTAATAGCTGCATTAGCCGAGCATTCGGCTCTGCCGGCCCTTTCGATCGGACGCGCAGTTATGTCGTTCGTGGGAGGGCGCACCCCAAACGGCACATCTGCGCGTACGTCGGAGCAATGGTATTCCGCTGCCTGGCATAGATAGATTGCACATGGTGCGGGATAGATCCAGCCATCACTCGATCGTGCTTCTTGCCCCAAGACTCGTGTTCTGTCTCGTTCAGACTTCTCTTCTCCTACTCCCCCTTGCCACGACCAAGACCACAACTAATCTCACTTGCTTACGTGTAGGATCATGGGCGACCTATTGCACGGTCCGGTATTACGTCGGAGCATGGCTTCACCCATTTCAAACAAGACAGATCATCGCGCTGGTTTTGGGTTCATGCACTGCACTATGCCTCGCGTGTAATGTCACCTCTCTAGTCATCTCCGCCTTCGCGCATAGGCTCGGCTGGTATTACCGACCACATTCGAAGCACGAACTCTTGCAAGGCTTCTTGCGATATTCATCGTCACTCTTACTCATCGCCCCTTCCATCGTCAATTTCGTACTCGTCATCCTCTGGCGGAATATCTCCGATATCAAAGACAGCTTACAAGGCCGCTGCCACTGGGATATCGATGTCGTCTGGAGCGGCTTTGGCGGCGTCTGTGACGACTCACCCGCTTTTGGTTTCTGGCTCGTCGGGGCTATCGTTCGACTGCTCCTCACACTGGCACTCGTGGTACGTGCTATCTGCTAATGTGGCCCGCGTGTGCCGTCCCCGAACTCACGCCCGCTTTCACAGCTCGCGTATCACGTCGTGTCGTACAAGTACATGGTCACGCGAAGACCGTCCCGTCGGAGGCACAGCACGCTCGTCCGACACTCCACGGCATCCTCGCGCCCGTCTACAGTCGGAACGACGATGTCAACTCACAGCTCCCGCCGGTGCGGCGCTCCCCGGGACGCCCCTGCCAATCTCGTCCCCTTGCGCGAGCGAAGGGTCTCCGCGCCACGACCGCCGGGGGCTCGTGCCTGAGGGTGAGCCTCACGCGCTCCTTAGCGTGCGCTCCCGCATCCTAGGCGCTGAAGTCAATCCCGCCGGGCCCTCGCAAGTCGTCCGCCGTGCGGTCTCCGCGCAGGGTCTCCGCCAGGAGCGTCAATCGAGCTCAAGCCCCACGCCGCCGTCCTCGCCGTCCACGTCCGAGCGAGGTTCGTCGGACGACGAGGAGCACTATGGGCGCCCGATCCAGCGCTCGTGGGGCGGGTACGCTTCCGTGCCCGACGACGGCTCGCCAGACCGCGACAGTGCGCTCGAGCAACACTGGCAGCCCACCAGCCGGACCAGCCGTGGGATCCCATGCCGGACTCAGACTGAACAGCTTCGCGGCACAGTTCCGGGCGCTGGTCGAGCAGGTGTCGCGCGAGACGGACGCGGGGCTCGCGCACGCCAGCGCGACCGCGACGAGTACGGCGCGCCGCGGGACTCGCAGTACGTGCTCGGGCGCGCGGTTCACCGGATGCCGACGATCGAGTCGATGGGCTCGCACGAGCTCGTGTCGCTCGCGAGCGCGAGCGCGTACGGCGGGTTCTCGCGCCCGTCCACGCGCTCGAACACGCCTCGGGGGATGCGACGCACTCGCGCACCGCGTCCCGCGCAAATCGCTCGACGCCGCGATGAGCCTCTCGCTCTCGGTCGACGGCCTCGCCGCGCTCGCCGCGGCGGGGGGCAGCGACTCGCGGGGGGCGAGCGAGTTCGGGGAGCTCACGCCGAGCTCGGCGACGAGCTACAGCTCTCCCGCGTTCTTCGGCGGGCGGCGGGAGCAGGAGTACGGCGTCGTACCACACCGCGATTAGCACCCGCCCGAGAGCATCGAGGAGGACTGAACGGCGCGCGGCGGGCCGGACGGACCGCGGCGCCATAGACTGGACTTGGATCCCGAGGACATTGCGAGGACTTGCGGCTGCGGGGACAGACCGCCCCCGGCTCGTTCCCCCGTGTACAACACCGTGTAGCACACGCCTGGTGCGCCTCATACTAGGACTGCCCGTGCCGGGCTCGAACTTGCTCCACCTTACCTTACGCCTCGTTGTGACCGAATGCTTGTACGATGCTCCATCTTACGCCTCGCCCGTAATGCCCTTGCTCACCCCCGATATCCCCCGCAGGTTCCGCCATCACCCCTGTACGCTCGTGTCGATGTAGTACAGAACATAACCCACCGACTACGGAATCTATCCGCGCCCAGGCGCACACGTTGTACCACTTCTCGCCCGCCTGCCGGTGCTGTGGCGTGAGCGTCGGCCGAGGAAGTGTGGGCGCGATGGGACCGGAGGGCCTCGAGTGCCGCGCCTGCGACGAAGGCCGGCCCTGGTGGAGAGCACGGCGCTCGGTTGCGTGCGGTGCTTGCGCCTCGCGCCCCGCGACCGCTGACGATCGGCGCAGGCGACGCAGCGGCCGCGGCTGCACACGAAGGCAGGGAAAGGTGGGTGTTGTCCATATGGGGCATCCACCGTCCACCGATCGCGGTCGCTGCGCAGGTTCCGCAATTTAGGTTTCATGCACCCGTGTCGGCGATCGGGTGGGGCGTGCGTGCCCGAGGCCTCCTTCGTGCCGCTGCACCCCCGTCTGGAAAGGGAGAGGAGATGCACGGGAACACGACGAGCCCCGGCGGCCAGCAGACTGAGATAGCGCGGGCCCTGGCGGCGAGTAGGCTCAGCGGTCGGCGCCCGAGACCGCGTCCCGCAGGTGCGCCTGCCCCCCGTCTCGTGCCGGAGGGCGCACGCCCTCGTCAACCGTCCATCCGCCTCGCCACGACTCGGACTCCGCGCCCGCTCGCGCTCCGTGATAGAGGCTCGCAGCCGAGATTAGCACCGCGGCGGGCACGTTCCGGCCCATCACGTACTGGGGCCCCTCTCGCCGTCCTGGTGGTGCGCGCGCGCGCGCGCGCCGCGGCCGCGAACCTTTAGCAGGTCGGTGACGCGCTGCCCGGCGCGGCGGCTCGGGACGAGGCGCGCTCGAGTTCCCGTCCACGATTGGAGGGCTCCGGGAGGGGCTCTGATCAGCCCGTGCGCGACCCTGCAGGCCTGGCCGGTCTTCAGCACTTTGGGGTCCACCCCGACGGCGACCGCGAATGAAACGGCCGTGTGCTTTAGCTCGAGCCCTGCCCGCCGCGACGCCGCGAGCCAAGTACGATGTGCGTTCAGTAGCGGGCGTCGCAGCCTCCGTACGCGAGCTGGCTTCGTCGTCACCGGGGCATCTTCGCAGTCGAGTCGGCGCACGCGGCAGAGGGAGGGACGCTCGCACCGGGCGCGCCTTCACGTACGGAAGCACGGCCTCGAGACGGGGCGCCCGCCGCCCGCACGCGTAAGTACCCCAGACCACAACGCAGAGATGGAAGCCTGCTCGAGCTTGGGCGTCGTAAACCTCAGGCTCGAGGTTGCAGGTCGCAGGTCCAGGTCACGGAGGCGGAGAACGGCTTTCGCGCGCCGCTAGCCGCGTTCGGCTGTGTCTCTCCTCGGAGGCTGCCCCGAGCCCAGCGGGGTACGTACGTTGCCCAAGTACGGGGGCTCGGGGCTCTCAGTCTCGAGCCTTTCGAATTTCCAGAGCGGACGCGTCTGGGGTTGAGTCTCGCCCCGTGCGCGCCGTCCGTGTTCGCCCCGTGCGTCTGCGCAGCTCCCGCCCGGAAAACATTCTGTCCCTGACCCCAAAGTCCCCTGCCCGCTCTCGCCCGTGGCCTTCTCCCGCTGGACGCCCTTCTCCCTCTCTGCCGCTGCTCGTCGTCCTCGCGGCGTGCGAGAGACGCGGGCGCGGCCTCGTCTCTCCCTCTGGATCCTCGCGTCGCGGCCCGTGTACTAGCAGCCAGACCAAGACGGCGGCTACTTGCTGCGCCCGCGTCCACAAGAGCCCGCCCCCCTGCTCGCGCGGCGGGACCTGCCAACCGGGGGCGATCACCTGCGAGGGCATCGGACGACGTCGTGCGTCTCGGCGGTCGTGCGGCGGGGTCGCGTCTCCGCAGGCACAGGCATCCTCAGCGCTCGCGCTCAGCCGTCAGCGCGATCATGAAGCCTGCGGCCGATCGCCCACGGGCGGGGGCAATACCCGCTCCGCGAGCCTCAGGCCTCATTGGCGAGTGCGTGTTCGCGGGAGAGCACCGAGCGGAGGACTCCCCAGGCCTGAGACCGAAGCCTGAAGCCCCGTCGCGGTGGCGCCCTCTGCGCAGCGGCGGCGAGGGAGTAAGCGTCACGTACAGCTTACTCGCACGGGCTGATCGGTGCCCGGTCGGTGACCTAACGGTTGCCATTTCGCGCGTCGCGCGCCGGGCGGGGCGGGGCGGGAGAAGGCGAGCGGCGCGGCGGCCACGCAATCCCTCACGTTCGCGGATGCGGACGCCGATGCGCGATGCTTGCCGCCACCCCCTGCGGATCACCGTCTGCGCGGACCCCCGGGCCCCACTGGTGCCAAAGAGGGAGTTCGCCTGGCCTATTGTCTCGCGCGCAGAGCGCGGACGAGCGGGTGCGCGGTGCGCGGTTCATGTGGGCGCACAGTGGAGGGAGGCGAGGGAGGCGAGGTGAGGTGGGGGGTTCATTCGCGCACGCGAACGGAGCACCGAGCCACGAGCGTCTATTCGCTGCCTCGCTCGAAGGCTCCCTGACCGGGACCACACGCAGCCACACGAGCGCGATGGCGCGCGACGATCGACCCGCAACTAACCTCGTCCCGGTGCGCGCGCACCCCCCCAGGGCAATCTCGCGCGCGTCCAGGGGCGGCAAGGACGCGCTTCGCTGGAGGCGGCATCGATGGGCGGTCGCTGTGACGAAGTCGGTCTGCGGTGACGGCGTGCAGTGGACATAAATTACGTGTCGGGGGCGGGAGGGCTACATTAGAATACGCGAGACGAGCAGGAAGTGATACATGCGAAAGCAAGGGTGATAATGCACAAGGGAGGAAGAGGAAGAGGAGGGAGATATTCGAAAGAAAGGTTCGGAGAGGCCGGCGCCTGGCGGACGGCAAGAACGAAAGGCGGCAGCGCACGCGCGCGCTACTTCTGGGGCGTGCTTCCCGGGCGGAGGACGAATGAGCGGGAGAGGCGCGGACGGAGGCGCGGGACGGGGGGGACGTACACAGGGACGTAAACGCACGGGATGGTCCGGCGCTGGCAGTTGGCGCAGGTCGGCCGACCGTCGCACTTGAGCTTCCGTCCTGGTGACGGGATGTCGGCCAAAGGCAGGCGCGGTCGAGCTCGGACGCGCCGACGCACCTCGACAGAACTGACACGCCATCGGCGTCCGACGCGGCACTTTGGGCTTGCCACCATCGCGCTCTCCGTCGGAGACATTCCCGTGGTCCATGGGCTGCTCGTACTGCAGCGCGCGCGGGCCGTGTGTGAGCGTGTGGGGCGGAAGTCGGGAGACGGGCGTCGCACCTGGTAAGAGCTCATGATGGATGGCGTCCGCTCGGGAAAGCGAAGGGAGAGAAGAAACGAAGAGGGGATAGGCACGGGAGCGATGTGGGACTAGTGGGATGGGCTCGACGGTGCGGAGCGCGGCACCCTTTATACGAGCTCGACGAGCGATTGGCGTTTGGCGTCACCGCGTTTGGCGGAGTCACCGACGCTGTCGGCGGACCACTAGAAAGGGTCAACTTAGATGAAACAAAGATCACGTCACGCAAGTCTCGGAAGGAGGATCTTGGGCGTTATGAACTGCGCAGGCTTGCCAAGGACGGATAAGCACCATTGAGTGGAAGGGAGACGTACGCGACTACGATTTCGAGCTACGGGCTGAGGCCGCTGAGGAGTAGGGTGCAGGCCCATGCTGGCGAAACCCAGTACCAGACATTGAACACGTCGCGCGGCGTATTCAGCCGGGGTTCATTTCCGGAGCGATTACCCTGGTGACCTCCCGATATGACGACGGTCAGACACTGTCTCTCCTCGCGACGATTGGCCTGGGGTCATCGTGTGCGAGGCACGGAGGTTCGTATGAATGAGTGGGTGCCCGTTCGGTCTTCCCCTAGATCATACGAGGGTCCTGGAGGGGCTGGGTCTGGGACGTTCTGGGCCATATGACATGGAAGCAGTCAAGGAAAGGCATTGCCTATTGAGAGCAAATGCTTGGTTCGCCTCGCGCGTAAGGTGTGTCGTGAGACGGCATCTCTGCGGTCTAGCGTGGAGAGAAAGTCGATCAAGAAGGGGCGCAAACCCGTCGCCGGGAAGACTGGCTGACCTGAGTCGGGCTCTTTCTCCAGCCTAGGCTGCGTTTGCCATACGACCGAGCGAGCAGAGCCCAGACTGCGCCGGCCTCGACTGCCCCGGATGGGTTCGGCAAGCTTAAGGCCACGTGCGCCTCCGCCCCCCCACCACGCGACCGAAGCAAGGCGACGGACTTACATCGCCCTCTTCTCCGCTCCTCCATCTTCCGGCCGTCCAGCGGCGGCCGAGAGCAAGGACCTTCGAGCGAGAAGCTGCGCGGCTTGTCGTCCTTGCTACACGTCTTGGCACTCGGTGCGTCCCCTGGTTCGATTTGCGCCGGAGCAAATCACATCGGGCAGGCTCGTCGTAAGCCTGAAGATTTGCTGCACCCGAAGTCCGATTCCTGGTGCGGCCAACCTTCTCTCCTGGGCCCAAACCTTCCACGCACGCCGCCCTGGCCACACCTTGGCCTTCGGCCTCCTTGTCCATCTGTCATCGCCAACACCGCGTCTCCAAGCCCGCCCCGATTTACAGGACCCGGGGGCCGACGTCGCGCCGCTCCCTAAACCTCAGCTAGTAAGACCGGCCCATGTCGGACGGTGGTCTGACGGACTAGTGCGTATGCGGAGCACGACGATGCTGGCATGCTGGCACGAGCGCCGGGCCCGCCCGACCGACGCGGCTTTCGACATCTGAGGCCAGAACTTAGAAAGGCGTAGCGGCTGGGCAAGGCACTATTGCCACTCGCTCGATCCCCGCGCGAGATACGCGCAACCCGCCCCGGCGGGCCCGCCACCGCCCCGGGGTCGTCCGAGCGGAGCGCGACAGGCTCAGGCTTAGGCTGCCTTGGAGTCCTCCGTCGACCCGGCGCCGCACTCGCCCCGCCACATCTGCTCATCAGGAAGTCGTCCTCGCTCCCACCCCAGACCAGAGGCGCGCGCGGCCTCGACATGGCGACCCTGCTGCTCGCCCTCCCGTTGCCATGCCCATGCCCATGCCAAGTCCCGCCAGCCTCTCCTCGAGCCCATGCCGTTCCCGAGCGCGGGGCGGGCGCGGGGTCCGCCCCGCCCGTCCCCGCGCGACGGAGCCCGGCGCCGCAGATCCCGCCATGTGGTTATGCCCGCGACCCACCCCAGCCCACCCCCTGCTTTCCCCGGATTCGCGCGGGCGGGCGCGGGGTTAGTGCGGGCGCGGGCTCGCCGGGGGATGCGCTCCCCCTCCGCCACGATCGGCTCGCGCGCGGGGTCGTCTCGTCCAGCCTAGACCGCCTCGCGCTGCCCCGCCGGCACCTCACCGCCGCCGTCGGCAGTCGAGCACCCCGGGGCAGCAGCCCCCGCCGTGCGCGCCCCGCGCTCCGGTGCGGGTGTCGAATTTCCTCCCCGCGCGCTCGTCCCAGTGATATCTGCCACTGCAAAAGGGCGGGGGGAGCGCGAGGGGTGGTGCGCCAACGCCAACGCCAGAGGATCCGGTCACGCTCGGACATGGCGTATGTCGCGCAGGCCAACCCTGGCCTACTGCCCCACCCTGACGTCCCCGTCGCATTTCATCTCCCGGGTGGGCCGTTCAGGGAGCGACCCTCGGACACAGAGCTTCGCGCGGCCCGACTCGCGACGGCGAACCACCTCGTCGCCCCGGCGGCGTCGCCGCAGTCTTGCTAGCGGCTTCGAGAACTGAGTGCTGATGCGGCTACGGCATGCTTAGTTGCGGCAGCGCGCTTGGGTACCGCGCTCGGCGTCCCTGTGCCCTCGTTCGCGCATTGCACCGGTCCGTGTGCAGCTGGGCAGCTGGCAGCAGGGGCAGGGCGGGGGTGCTCGTGCAGCGCTGCCGCTCGGTCGTCTTCCCTGTGGGGCGGCGCGAGTGCTCACTCCGTGCGCGCGAGACGGACTTACCGGGAATGGCGAACACCGAGTGCGACCCTGGGCCGCGTTGCGGGACACGTTGTCGGTCGGTTAAGGCGTTATATGCCCCGATGTATTGGCAGCGCGTCGATGGCCCGGAGGGCATTCAGTACTAGCAGCACTTCTTCGCACTAACGCTGGGTCGCCTCCGCGAAGCGTGGCACGGGTACACCAACGATCGAGATTCGATGTCATTCAAACTACAGAGACCGACGGGCACAAAACAAGAGGTGATCCTAGTGGTACAGTGGATGTGGCCCGTTGCCGGGCTGCGATGAGCTAGAGCTACACACACGCGTATCGACTCCTACCAATCCTTAGACAAAGACAAACCTGGCCGCGTGCGCAGTACACGTGAAATCCATTTCCTTCGAATGGATAGGCAGATTAGTTCGATAACGTGTCCTTGAAACCCTTCTCGCTGTCCACTTCGCCCGGAATGTCGTCCAACTTTGAGCCAAAATGACAAGGCAGATTCAGTTTATGTTGGTAATACCCCAGATTGCCAGATCGGGGCGCACCTTGTCTAGATCCTCGAGAGCTGACCGGATAATACCCACCGCCTTCATGAGATCGTCCTCCGAGATGACCAGAGGCGGGGCGAATCGAATGCTGTCAATCGGGTAGGATGAGTCGAGAGTGTAGGTCCGACTTCCCGACCGCGCCGGCTGGGTGTACACGTACATGTTGACATGCGTAGGCTTCGCAAGCACCCCGCGACTCTTCAGAAGCAGGCAGAGCTGCCACGCGCTGTGGCCCTTGGCGCTCTTGCCCTCGTCAATAATGACCGCATTCAGAAGCCCGCGTCCGCGGACCTCCTTCACGAGGGGGGAGCCGATTGCGCGGATCGCGGACCGGAACTTCGCCCCAAGCTCCTCCGCGCGTCGTGCGAGGTCCTCCTCCACGAGAACGTCTAGAGCGGCCATCGCCACCGCGCATCCCAAGGGGTTCCTGTCCCACGTCCAGTTATCATAAGCCGAGAACCGAGTGCAAAATACGAATGAAGACTGACCCGCCATACGTACTTCCGTGCTCGCCCGGGCGAATGCAGAGCATGATGTCCCTATCGGCGAGCACTGCGGAGACAGGGTACACTGGGTGCAGTCAGTATCTGCACTTGCGCGCACAACCACCGCTGCCAAGATGACTCACTTCCTCCTGACAGCGCTTTGCCCAGTAATACCACATCTGGGCGAACGCCGTCGTGTTCGCAGCAGAGCATTCTGCCCGTTCGGCAAAGACCCTAATGAAACGTTGTATTAAGTTTCCCATGCAGCCGCGAACCAAGCGCCACTGACAGTCTGGATCTCGTCGCAAATGAGCAACACGTTGTGCTTCTTGCACAGCGCGTGAACACGCGCGAGGTAGCCTTCTGGCGGAACGACGATTCTGCCGGCGCCTTGGTGAGCATCGGGCACAGTGGGGGTGTGAGGGGCCATAAGACGCACCCAGCCTCGCCCTGAATCGGCTCTACCAGAAACGCGGCGGCGTTCCTCCCGTGGAGCTCGAACGCACGCTCGAGGTCGGCGATCTCCCCATACCGAATCGTCTTAGTCTCGCCGTTGTCATCATAGTCCGGCCCGACGGCACGTAGGTAAGGCCCGAAACCGCCGCGGCTTTCCGGATCGGTGCTCATGCTAGGTGCGCGCATGGCCATAGCAAAGACCCCGAGGAAGACACGCATCGTTCGCAAGTTCGGTGGATTCAAGGCAAAAGCTTGATTCAGTATCGTTATCGCGCGGGAAGGAGAGATGCTGCTGACCTGATCACTGCCAGAGTCCTTCCATGGAAGTTGCCTGCAGCGCTGAAGATGATCGCTTCGCCATCCGGTACACCCTTCTTCTCATACGCCCACTTGCGCGCCAACTTCAAAGCGGTCTCGACTGCCTCGGCACCCGTGTTCATTGGAAGAACCATATCGTAACCAAACATCTCGGTAACCTTCTTGGCGAACCGACCAAAGACTGAGTTGTAGAATGCCCGTGAGGAAAGCGTCAGCTTCTGTGCTTGCTCAACGAGTGCCGCAGTGATCTTGGGATGGCAGTGTCCCTGGAGACGTTTGGGTGTGAATGGATAACCTCATGATCTACAAATGAGACAAACCTGGTTTACAGCGCTAAGGACACCGTCATCAGCACCCGGAGTAAAGCGCCCGAGATATAATCGCTTACGAGTAAGCTGAGAGCATGTCAATATATTCCTTCCCTTCAGGATCCCACACTCTGCAACAACGTCAGTGGAAATTCACCTGTAGACCAAAAAGACGCCTACTTGGCTCCTTTCGCCGCTTCGAAGACAATCGGAAGGGGGTGATAGCTAGATGTATGCTTCGTTAGCACGAGAGCCCCGGGGCACAGACAGGGAGGGAAACGGGCGGACTGAGTGTTCCATCTGTGATCCCCTCTGCGCTAGTACAGCAGCGTCATCTGGCGAAGACCTTCGTACAGCGGCTGTAGAGTGAAAACAGGATGGTGAGTGACAGAGACCGGGGAGACAGAACAGTGTCCGCGGAGCCCCGAGCCCATCGGGGTCCGCGCTGTTCTGTGCTTCGAAGCACCCCTCGTTGCACACATCGTGCACCCTCCAACCATCTCCCGGACCGAGCTTTGCCGTAACCGCAGACGGCGAACGGAGTAACGTACTCACTTGTGCGCGCCATATTCGTGTTCTAGACGGATCACGTCGGCGGAGGATGTGTGCACGGTGTCGTGTCCCTTCCCAAGCGCCATTTTCGCTGCGTCGGTCATGGCCGAATCTGCGCAGGTGTCGATGGTCGCGGAGGGTGCCATGGTGAGGGTGCTGCTACGGTCAAACGATGGTGGTGGATGCGGGTCAAGAGCGGGGATGCGGCCGAGCGGGTGCTTGCCCGACGCCTGCCCCATCGGGGCGCCCCCTGACGCCCGGATCTTGGCGTCTCGGCCGGGGCACCGAAAGAGGCGTCAATAACTCAGCCAATCAGGGCGCGTAGATTTAGACCACGAGACTAGCACGCGTTTATCGTACACCTCCGATCTCTCCTTGGTGGTACACTAGTCATAGACGCCAATGCGAAAGCTGCAAGGTGCCCGTTTCAAACGCGAATACTCTCCGGAGGGCCCAGGTAGCTCGGACGCAGCCCGCCGGTGTCTGTAACAAGCCGTAAGCATTGCTTCCAGCCAGCGACGGCGTCGGGACAGTAACGTACCGATGACAATCTTCTGCACGACCACCGTCGGCTCAATCATCCACACCTGCCCAAGCCGTGTGTCAGCCTAGGTCCACACTACCCATGTTCTGCAGGCGCGGCCCACCCACCTTGAGTGTGTGCGCACCCGGCTGCAGGTGGAACACCATCGGGACCGCAATGATGCTGTTTGCCACCCACCCGTCGTTCCCGTCCCACGCGTCGGGCAGGTTCCCCGCGACCGCGACCGGCGGCACGATCGTCTTCGTCTGCGCCGCGCCGCCGTCGACCTGCATCGCGAGCTTGAGCGGTCGGTCGTCCCCGAGGCTGTTCAGCGAGGGGGAGACGAGCGCGGTCGCGGTCACGCTCCCGCCCTGCGCGACGGTGTTGAACAGGAAGAAGTCGTACTCGCTAGAAGCCACCCCCGGATCGAAGGAGGGATCGTGCCGCAGCGTCAGCGATGTCCGCACCGGCAGCCCGCGGGCGTAGAAAGGGCGTGCGTATGACTCACATGCTGGGCCCTTGTCCTGCCGTGAAGTTGAGCTCGTTTCCGCCCCGCGGCCAGGGCGTGACGCCTGAGAGGGTGCGCCCTAGCCCGGGCATCTCCGTCCACGTCAGGCCCTCGACGGTCGTGTTGCGGGACGCGTGCGCAGCCTCCATCGACACCACGCCGTCACCCTCGACGAAACCTTGAAATCCACCCAGTCGGGATACGTCAGCAATGCCGATCGGACTACCATGCAAACTCAAACAGTAAGGACACTCACCGTGGAAGCTATCAGGAACCTGGGTGTGGTTCGCAACGAGCGTGACGGTGACGGACATCGATGTCTGGTTCTCCGGCTTTGCCGTGAACACCACCCGCGCAGTTTCTACCCCGTTAACCTGGCTCCAGTCGACGCTCAGGAAGACGCGCTGCTCCGGTGAATCTAGAGAGATTGAACCTTCGCCCGGAGACACTGTCACCCAAGAGACATTGCTTCTCGAGCTGAACGTGAACGGCGTCGGGCCGCCCGCGGAGATGTCGACAAAGCGGTTTCCGAAGGGCACGAACGAGTCAAGCGTGATCGTCGGATCCGGGCAGCCGTACTGTTGCGCGCAGTTATTCATGTTGTCGCCCGGCCTAAGATGACCCCGGATTTGGATTAGTGTCCTCGTCAGCAAAAACCATAGCGCATCGGAGATGGACGAAACTTACCAAGCCCCCATGCTGCCTTCGACGGACAGCCGCATTGCTCCCGGGAGCGCCTGCTTTTTGGCGTTCACCTTCGTGACGGGCGGCATGGTATTCGCCATCGGTTGCTGCCAGTAGTAGTACATGACGTGCGTCTGGTCCATCATGTGGTCCCTGTGCGCAGCACTAACGTCAGCGCTGCAAACCACCGAAGACACCCCGCAGCAAGAGGCGATACTCGCCATTTCCCTGTATATGGGTGAACGATGTCAGTACAAGGTCTCATATCCCATAATCTCCGCGTCGCAACGGAAACCCACCTTCTAGAATGCTGTGGTAGTTCAGCTCGAGCGCGTAGTCTTCGTCGAAGAACTGTTCCACCTGCGTCATGAACTGGTTCGCGCTAATTCGCGCCTGCGAGGCGCGCAGCTGGTTCGTGCCGGCGGCCATCCACATACTCATTAGAGTGAAAGACGCCGAGACAGGGTGGTGGAGAAGCTGGAAGAACGCCGGCTGCATGCTCGCCGGAAGAGAAGTGTAGATTCGCGTTGTTGCATCCTTGAGGCTCTGTAGTTCTGCGAGCACGCTCTCGGCTCTATTGCGGTCGTCAGTGCCAATTATTCAGGAAGAAGGCTTAGGAATTGGGCGATAAGGATGAGGGAGAAGACGTACTCGCGGTAGTTGGTCAGGCTGTACGTTGTGCTGTTCCAAAGCTCCGGTTTTCGGCGGGCGTTGTGCTGAGTGATATTATGCATGATCGCCGCGACCTCGGCGGCCTCCGTCGCGTTCATGTCGAACTCGCGCCGGGCCCAGCTTGTCACGAACGAATGCACGTTCGTCGGGTCCCACTTGCCCGCATCGTAGCCGTACGTGAGGAAGAACTCGGTGCTCATTTCGTACGGCTTCAGGTCGCCGACGTTGACGATCCACACCGACCTTGCGTCGCGCGCGACCGCGGTTGACATCTGCTCGAATATCTATTGCAAATAAAAGCTCAGCATTTAACTCTGAATTCGACGTTGACATGATACGGGATGCGCACCTTTTCTATCTGGCTGCTCGTAATCCATTTGTAATCCCTAGGAGAACCCACGTAATCGACCTTTGTATCGAGGTCAGACTGTGCGTCAGCCTAGTCGAAGGATCACTTACGTGGTAGTAGACTCCGGACCCACCCGTGCGATTGCGCTCGGAAGGGAGAGGTGAACGACGAACGTTGCCCCAGCTACCGAACGGATCAGCCATCCGTACTAAGAGCAAGGCAGAGACGACACATACTTGTCATCCGACCACAGAAGCACAACATCATCATCCACACGCATCCCATCTTCGTAGTAGCCCTCAACCTCTTTGTCTAGGATCGAACATTAGACATTGGTCAGGTCCTCCAAGTGGCAATAACGTACAGAGGGTCCATACTTGAGGGATGGTAGTGGCATCCGACGTGTTGAAAGTCTGCGCGAGGATAGTGCGCTGGTCCGCGACGACCTGCATGAGCAGATCGATGTTCTGCCCCTCCGACAGCGGCACTGTTCCATGCCCGTCAATGGCCATGAACGCCACAACAAGACAAAAACCACCCACAGTCGCCGTTTCCACGCATCCCGATCGTCCACAGCCCCTCAAACGGCGCCGCGCGCGCCGCTCCCTCCTGCCAGAACGCGAAATGCGATCTTTGTTGACCGAATAGTCCCAGGGTGTGCCGCCGCCGAAGATGTTCCACTCGACAGGAATCGAGCGCATCATCGGCTCCTCGTGGCTCGTGCCCATCACGATTCCGTACCGGTCGGCAAAGAACTGATTCATGTTGTCGTCGATGCAGAATGCGCTGAGAAGGGCGAGACGTGAGAGTATATGATGAGTTCCGCGTCGTGACCATGCGAGAGGGAAACGTACCTAGACCATTGAGCTGGAGTGTTCGAGAGATGAATGGGTGACAGCATGAGGCGAAGGACGAAAGAACGTACCTGGCCAGATGTAGTTGGCCTTCATGCGCAGAAGGAGCTCGAAGCTACACCTCTGAATCAGGAAAACGCATGGTGCGACAACGTGGAGACCTACAGTTTGGTGTAGAAGAAGTGATTGAAAGGCGATCCGGTCAAGAAGCTCCCGTGCCGTTCGTGAACTTCTCCATAGCCCAATTTTGCAACGCGGGCTGCTCGTCGTTGAGGAAGATGCCGCGGTATTTGACTGTCGGGGTGCCGTGCGAGCACCCGAATTGTTGACGAAGATTTCGTTATGCTTCGTAGTCGGCACATCGGCCCACCTGAACTTCGTAAGTCCAGTGGTTCAACAACACAGCAAGTACAACCACACACGTGCCAATACCAAGGAGATTGTCCTAAGCAACCGCGTGAGTATGACCTGACCTCCTCTCTCACAAGCGTATCCACGCACCAAACTGCTCCGAATGCTCATAGAGCGCAAAAATCGTCCCGCGCTTGTCCGCCCCGACGATCACGTACGCGCTCTCCACGCCCGGCAGTGGGTTCTTGACCTCCTGTGCGACGAACGCCTCCCACTGCCCGCGCAAGCCCGACACGTCCATCCCCGTCCGGTTGACGATCGCATCGACGAGGGCCGACTTCCCGAGCGTGCCCACGATGATCGGCGTCGTCCCCGCGAACGCGCTTGTGTCGGTGTTGTTGCTGGAATTGGAAGTGGAAGCGGTGACGTTCTTGAGCGTAGGCTTGACGCCCGAGACGGCCTCAACGTCCGCGGCGAAGCTCGCGGCCGCGATTTGCACGCCCGGCCAATCGTCCGCGGAGAGCAGAACGGGTGCGGCCTTGCCGGAGTGGACGACGGCGAAGGTGTTCGGGGCGCTTTGGAATGACGCGCACGGCGCTTGGCCGATGGCGCGCACGCACGTGGCGAGTAGACCGAACGCGTAGGTCCAGGCGGCCCAGCGTAGAGCCATCGAGTTTCTATCTGGTGGATTTCGGGTCTTCGTGCTGCGACGCGAGTGGTGCTGGGCTTGGAGGTCGGAGAAACAGAAGACGAAAAAGACGATGAGAAGGCCCCGGAGCGGTGGCGCGTTAAGCTGCGCCGCGCTACTTATACGAGACCCAACGTCCTTGTGCACCCTGCAGGACATGCGGAGAGGCGGGAGCGCGTCGTCCTTGTGACCTCACCGGCCGCATGGGGGATCGTCGGAAAGGCGGGGCGGTCAGCGCACGGGGACGGGTTACGTGAACGGACGGCGCACCGCATAGCCCATCTTCTTCATACATGGCGGGCGCGACATACGCTCGCGAATGGAGAGAGGACGCAAAGAGATCGCTCCCGGGCGGGCCGCGGTGCCAGTGATTGAACGGCATCACCTGACCGTACTAGCATCACGGGTGCGGCGAAACCGAAGGTCGAAGACGGAGGCTATTTCGAGCAGAGTACTTCGTCTTCCGTCCTCGTATTCGGAAAACCAGGCCGAGCGACTGTGTTTGCGCTCTCCGTGGTCTCCACCGCACAAAATACGTGGAGCTGGTCCATCCAGTCGACCACACAACATGGCGCAGAGAGTTCCTGGCTCTTTGCAAGAAGACATACCTACTCACCGCCTAGCGAACTTGGAATCATGTATCCAAAACAGGAATCTAGCCACTCCAGCACCCTATCACCTCCGGACCGCGCCCTCTCGGTGTTTGCGGGGTAGAGGAGGAGACGGCCGCACTAAAAGCTGGAAGTGGAGGTCGCGATACAACGATGTTGCCTCATGGTTCATTCAAGGGACAAGAAGGATGCTCATGTTGTCTCTGAATTGTCTATAAATATGCGTATGACATCCCTGGGAGCGAAGGGGCCTGCGTGCGTCCCGGAGGCGTCAGCAGACTCGAGCAGAGAGCGAGCGCGGTGGTCACTTGCCTGCACAGTTGACGCATCTCCTCGTCACCGCATCACTTGGCCGGTGGTGGTGGCGGGGCCTCGTCTGCCTCCGCTGTGAACAGTACTTCCGTATCCGTTTCTGGGGCGGCGGGGAGAGCAGCGGGGCCGGCGTTTCGCGCGCGCTGTGCGGCCGCAGCTGCGGCAAGCCCAGGATCGGTGTCAGCGAGCCGCTCGTTGTCGTCGTCGTAATCGTCGTCGAGGAACTCGCGCGCGGACGGGCCGTCGTCGACTGAGAGTCGAATGCGACCCTCGCCACCTTCACGCCACGTTGTGAGCCTGCGCACGACGTCAGCCATCGGATGACGGTGATGCAATCGTGGTTCAAGGGAAGAGAATGCGGAGCCGAACGCGCAGCGTGGAGAGAGTACGGTGTCATGATTGAACAGGAAGACATACTGGTGGGAGACGACGGTCCGGATCTGCGACGCGCGACGGTAGAGCAAGAAGAGCACACACGAGGTGCACGTCGTGAAGAGGAGGATCAGCGGCCAGCTTCCGAGGGGTTCCTCCTTTGTGACTGGGCGAGGATCTGGACTTGGGTGAGCGAATCAGTACGAAAGCCAGGCACGAAACTGAGAGGTGGAGAATATGCGCGCAAAGATGCGCACATCATGTGCCGACAGACAGCGCGCAGGAATGTATGCGGGGTACAGCAAGAATGTGACCAGATGGACGGTTTGTGCGGACGCAGCCAAAGGAAGCACTCGCGCATGCGCATGAAGGCAACCGTTCCTCTCATAACGAGCTCATGCATGCACGCTGGGACATATCCTGCACCCCAGATCCCCTCCAGCTGATATTATTCCATCCCACGCGTGCCTCTGTGCAATATGCTGAACAATGGGATTGCCACGTACCTGCGCTAGGGAAAACAGGCATCTTGAGCTTGCGAGATGAGTACGGAGTGAACTCAGAGTGCGTGTGTAGATTAAAACGAGTGGGTACGTTATGGAGGCCGGGAGTAGATGTGGAAAGAGTGGCTTTATTATTATTATTATTATCGGACCATCCCGACGGTTCACATAGTGGCTACGTAAGTACCGTAGCGACGGTGACCCAGCGCTAGGTCGGTATCCCGCGTTCGGTTGACGCTCGGTGGCACGGGACCGCACCCGAAGGCAGCTGCGGAACTAGTGGAAAGAGTGGCAAGGTCTGGGATAGGCTCGATCATCCATCCCCTTTTCGTCGTACCTCCTCAAGGGGCTGGTCCAACTCGAGGGGTTTTTGGCAGGCGCACCATAAAAGGCAATCACGTGATGTGAGTGCCCTCCCCTCGCTCCACTCCCCCGCCCAAACGGGCTCGTTGGGGCACGCCGCTCCCCCGTGCGCGACGGCTTGTGACGGCGGTCGCGTCGGGAGGCGTCACGGAGGGCGCGCGACCGGTCGCGCGCGCGCGCGCGGCTCGTGCTCCCGCGTCGTCGGCCAGCGCACAGTCCCGCGCGGCTCAAGCGGATGAAGGGGAAGGTGTTGCACGTATATACACTCATGCAATAGCACTGTATCCTGAAGCTGAGCGTGTGTATTACAAACAGAACACGTGCCTAAAGTCACCATCTACCGACACTTGGAGGTGGAAGCGGAGGAAGCAGAGCAGCTGAAGAAGAGCGAGGTGTGGGCGGCGGAAGCATAGCGGCCGATGAGGAGCGGGGTGCAGATATCGGACGAGAGACGGCTGACTGTGAGATGACTGTGTGGGCATGAGGCCGAGGATGACCCAAATGTTGTTGGGCGGGAGAAGCGCCAACGCGGTGGCGTGCAAACATTGATACGGGAGTTGTGGTACGAGAGGTCGTGTGCTGAGAACGTAGTGATGCAGGGAGTGTCCGTACAAGATGATGGTTCAGAGTAGACGATCGAAGAGCAGAGATGTGTGGCGAGGATAGGACAGATAGGCTAGAATGCGGCAGCAGTGCACCGATATTTTGAGGAGGTGGAATAAGAGCTGTAGCAGCCGGAAGCGGGGCAGATGGAACTTGATGTTGTGCAAAGAGCAAACGAAGAGAATCTGGAGACGGTACCCTTGGCGAGTCGCCAGGCAAGGGAGGTCTTGATGGACGGTGTATGCCGAGTTTGTACTCCGCATATGCTTGCTCTTGCACGAAAGGTGCACAGGGGTGGGGTGCTTGAACCCGGAACTTCTTGCGAGGACGAGGACGAGGTTTTGGAGGTGGTGTATGAGAGAGGGAGGTTTGCGTACAAAGAGGAAGAGGTGGCTGTTGGGGTTGCACATGCTGCGGCAACGGCGGAGTGCTGACTTGGGGGCTCGGCACACCTAACGCAGCCGTCTCGGACTTGATGAGCTTGCGACGAGACTTGGTGGGCTGGCGGCGAGGCTTGGTGTCCTGAGGAGGTCTGAAGTCAAGCAAGACGCACATGCTGCCATAGACAGGAGGATCAGAGAGAGCAGGTACGATAGGAGCGACAGTGGTCGTGTGGAGGGTATGGTGGTGGGGATCAACCAGAGAGTCGTCGTCCGGCGCTCTCGGGCGCTTCGCCTGACCCACTGGAGAAGTGCTGCGAGCGCGCTTCTCCGACCCCTTGGCTGTCTGCTTTTCAGCTGTCTCGGGAGGCGAGACAAGTGAAATCTTCTCCAAGAACGCCATCAGCTCAGTCCCGTACAGATCCCAGTTGGTCCACTGAGTTCGAAGCATGTGCGACACTTTTTCTGCGGGTAGACACCCGTGAGACACGAGTTGCTCGATAGTTTTGCTGTTGAGGACCGCGGCCGGGCTCAAGACGGATGTTGGTGTATCACGTTGGTGAACCTCGGAGCGCCATGCAATGAGTTTCCGCTGAGCCGCACGATCAGGTGTGCCTTTCTTCGGCATGCGAGACTGCTTTTCAGCTTTCACAGGGGGCGATGGACGAGCTTGATCTAGAAGTGATGGGTCACATATGTCACAGCAGGGTACCGTCAGCTCTGATGAAAGCAACAGCTGAGACTCAGTTGCGCATTGGAGCCGGAGAGATCAGGAACTCACTGCCGGAGTCAACAGTGCTATCAAAGATCTCCGCTATGATCTGGCGCCGACAGGTGAGACTCTGGATGAAAACTAGAAGGCCCTCGTCGTCACTGTCAAGATCCAGTGTTGGCTGCGAGCCCACAGGAACAGTGTCTTCCTTCGTGGAGCTCCCTCGATCTACACCATGCTCGCGAGCGTAGATCTGTGTGAGTTTCGGGTCCTTCTTGGGCTTTGGGTTAGCCGAGACGAGATCAACGTTGTACCACTTCCGCTCGACGAGCATGATGGCAACTCCACGAAGCCCGGCACCCCGGACAGCACGGCCGAACCTCTGTGCTACTTGGGAGAGCTTCTTTGGTTTCTTGAGTTGAATTGTGCGAATGACTTTTGGGTTGTTGCTACCCTACCCCGGGGCAAGACTAAGCATGAGCTCGAGGGACGGAAGAGCACGAGGGTTGAGATCTCACCATTCCCGCAGCTTCGGTGCATACAAGGATTCGGATGTTGCCTTCCCGGAACTCCGGCATCGCTGCGGTACGGTATTCCTGAGAGAGTTGCGCGTTGAATGGCCGAACACACTCCAGGAGTGTGTAACTGTCTAGATCCAGCACGGCAAGTGTGTCCGAAGAGGCGCCGAGGATACGACAAAGCCTCTCGTTCAGATGGTCTACAACCCTGGATCCAAGCTCTACGTCGTCGGCAAAGATCTGGGTGATGGGAATGTCTAATGGGGAGGTGATGGTATCAGGGACAATGAAATCGATGTCAAGTAGACTGCTCAGGGGGTATTCTAGAGCGCGCACGATAATGGATATGTTCGGGCGATCGTTGCCCTCGTTCTTCCAGCGAGATTGACGGGATGACTGCCCAAAAAGCAGAGATGTTTGAATCGCTCTCTTGACGCGGGGAGTGATGGTCGCAGAGACAGCCATAACGGGAGTATCACGAGGGAGGAAAGCACGGATCTTGCCCAATGTGCCATACTCTTTGCGAAAGTCGGCGCCCCAGTGGACGGTGCAGTGTGCTTCATCGACAAAGATTGACACAACATTACGAGTAAATCTGCGATTGCGTAGGAAAGTATCAACGAAGGTCTGTGACAGAAGCATCTCGGGTGAGATGAGTACGATCTGGTGTCGCATATCAAAGATCGCCTAGATGGGGCAAGCTCAGCCATTGCATTGAATGATCACGAAGGAAACACACCTGGATAACAGCGGGATCAGTGCAGGCTTTATTTTCGCCATTGATTGCAACTGCCGAGAGACCGTAGTCGGACTTGAATGTGCGTACCTGGTACAGAACGAGGTCAGAAAATGCGCAGAGAAATCTGGATAAACCCTACCATCTCATTCTCTAAAGTGAGCAATGGGCATATCATCAACGTCACTCGGTGATCAAGCCAGACGTGAGGTCCAGCAGCGATTGCTGTCTTTCCTGCACCGGTGGGGGCTTGAATCACCATGTTGGCGCCTTCAAGTTGGGCCCGGATGGCGTCAAGTTGGAACTCTTTTGGATCATTCTGCCATTTGAACTTGTCACGCAAGAGTAGAGACAATTTTTGAACCTCAGAACCTGAGAGAGGATGACGAGAAATGAAATCGACCAAAGGCTCTGTTGGTGAGGCGGCATAATGGGAGTAGGAATGGCGAGGCATGGGCAAGCTGTGTGCCGCGTGAGTCCTGCACACGATCTGTGATCACTTTGCGTACAGAGGAGTCAGGACACGTTGGCGCACGACACAGACTGTGCAGAGGACACGACATTGACTCGTCACGGAGTGTGTGGTGGGGGAGTTGTCGTAGAGCGTGAGGTGGGCAGCGCGTCGTTGTGGCACGCTGTGAGGAGGGCAGCACGTTGTCGTGGCACGTGAGGAGGGCGGCATGTCGTCGTGGCGTGTGAGGAGGGCAGTGTGTCGTCGTGGTGCGTGCGGAGGTCGCAGCATCCACCTCGGCCCTCGACTACGAAATGACTGAGACTGTATACAATATGGGCCACCTGTCCAACGATATCCTGAGAAGAGCGCCTATGACACCGCTACAGCGTTTCAGTAATACCGACCAGACTCAGCGGCCCCCCACCATGACGACATTTGGTATATACTGCGTGTGGTACATGCATTGGGGAGAAAGTTGATTAACCAATGTTACAGTCGGCAAGCTAGCAGATTGGGCAAAGGATGTACGCACAGAGCAGCCAGCAGCATCGTCATCCACTTTGCAGACAACAGGTAGGTGATCTTCCTCGGGGTCTGGTCCTTCTCTTAACGCTAAAAACAATGCAGAGTATGTGAATGATGAACACACCTCAGGTACGGTATGGAACGCGTGTGCCGACCAGCCACCACCGCGCATACAGCCAGCCCGGTACCCCGGTATAGCCAACAGCCCATGGCGCCATAGGCCTCTCCCTCAAGTTGATGGTGTACCCGCCCCAGGAATGTCTTTCATATTGAAGGGATGAGACCGATAGACTGACGGTGTGGCAGGCGAATCCATTGTCGGGTCGGAAGATCCAAGACACCGTCAAAGCGAGACCCTGACCCGTCGATATGAACGTCAGGGTGTCATTCTTGATACACGTCTTCAGGAGAGTCTTCGAGCTGAAGAAGCAAGTACTGAAGACGCTGCCACTAGGGAGGTGAAGTGTTACGCTGACGTCCTCAACACACTGAAGAAACAAGGGCTTACCTGGGGTGGCTTCGTCAAGTGGATATCAAGCACAAGCTCCGATTGTGGACGAGACCGCTGGGAAGGTTTGTTCGCACACCCGCAGAATGTTAGGGAGATCTTGGACCTGTGGGCAAGTCAGCCATCCAACACCAGCAAGCAGACAGTGCGCGACTGGGCCTTCGACACGGTTTCACAAGTCATTGTAGTCGAGGCCGAGGCGGTAACAAAGAGTCACTTACTGCAAACCAATGCCCAACTGTTCACAGTTGAGCGTGTTCTCTCCCTCGACCTCGCGGATCTCCACGACCGCATCTTCAGCCTGTGTCCGAGAACGACTTCTCTCCTCATGTGTTTTGCAACAACCCCTCAGCAAGAAAAGACTACAGCTGCACGGTGTGACAACGAGGACAAATCAGTCATCCGCAAGAAGAAGGTGAGTGGGTGTGTACCAACTGTTGTGATAGAACGCACTGAGCGTTTGCGGCAGCGAATTGGCACCGTTCTTGTCGACCTGTTAGGCGAAAGAAGTCAGAACAACAGTTTCATCAAGCACGTCAACGCGCTGTACTTTTATGCCACCGGCACCTCTCGCCAGTCCATCTCAGTCGCTTCTGCACTTGGAATATGTAGTAGCTACAACGCAATTGTTGGGAGCTCAAAAGTTCACGGCAACATCGACATACCACCACCAGGACTAGAAACCGACGACGACGACGGAGATCCACAACTTGAACAGAGACATCCCCGTTCTCAAGACATCCCCAGTGTGGAGAGTGTCCGCCCCGATGCAGAGGACATCGATCTGGTAGAAGCCCTCGTCATCCCCGACGAGGACGGCTTTGAGCTAGAGCTCGAAGACCAAGCTCTGGGGTCCCCACCATCGTCGACTCTCTCTGGGGCGACGGTACACAGCCAGACAAAGAAGAATGACTCACAACATGGCTCGCGCGCACACTCCAGACTGCCAAACGTGAGGACTGGCCCCGCCGACCCGGAACCCGAGGACTTGATGGATGTCGAGGCCACAGAGAGCAGTGGACCAGGTGCTGGGGTAACAGACCATCTGAAGCAGAGAATCGGGAAGAGCAGGCAAGGAGGAGGCGAGAGGTGAGTCCAAGTGTGCGGTGTAGTCAGGAGATAACGTGAACGCGCACTTCCAGCGAGGCCGAGCTTGAGACGCCCATATCAGCCTGGCGCGGTGCTGGTGTTCTTCGGCGACTAGGCTACTCTTGCCGCTGGACTGCTAGGAAACTCGCTCGCTCTTCCCTGGCTGGCTATGTCTACGACAATATCAACATGACATTCAAGGTCTCCGAACAGGTACTGGGGCATCAAGACACTCAAGAGAGCGGCACCTGCGCCACAATTTTCTCCCTCTTTGACGCGCCACCGGCCAATATGAAGACCAAAGACCTTGTCACATCCATCAAGACCGCCAGACCTCTCGAAATGAGGGATATCCGTCTCACTGCCAGCGAGACGGAGCTGTTCAACAGGTGCTCCATTCATGCCATCCTACGTGTTATCGTTCACGGTGAGCCCGCATTTGCGAAGTTCCGTGCGCAAGTCAACGCCACCCTCCCTCCGGACGGGCTCAAAATCCCTCTGCACAAGACTGCCATACACCCACTCCCCACCATGAACATCGACGAGTCGAGTGTCACTGGCAACGCCTCAGTTCTGGACTACATCTTCCGCCGCGAGCTGAAATTCGACTTCGGCGCTGCTAGGTTCCGTGAGGTTGTACGGCTCGTCTTTGGCGACCAGCTCTCTCTTGCCCGACTCCGTACTCTCATCCTGCACCGTGTTGGTCACGACCAGCTCGCCTCGTCCTATGTGAGCCTTGTTCTTGGACCTGGTCTCTTCCATTACCAGATCGCTCTCATCCACGGCATTCTCGAGACCCACTTTGGTGAGCCAGAGGGCAAAGGCACACTCAACGCGGCAAGTCTCTCGTTCTTCAACAGTGTGCTGGGTCGCAAGCCCATCTTCTTGTCCTCCCTCCCTCCCTATCGCACCTGCCGTGACCTCATCTTCACCTCGCTCACTGCCGGCATCCTCTCCTGTCTCAAGAATGTCGCGAACGTCAGTGACCTCCCGGAATATGCATCAGAAGTCACCTTCAAGCAGCTTGAGGCGCATGCGCTGAAGATCCATCAACACTTCTCCGTTGGTGCCGTGAACAAACTTCGTGAGGATCGCGAGATGGAGGTCGCCGAACATCTGGATGAACACGAGCGTGCGCCCGAGGTCACCAGCAAGAGTGATCACGATGAAGACCGCCCTCCGTTTGATCCCCTTCTTGGCATCAAGACCGGAGACATGGTATTTGAGAATGCTGTCTTATTCCTCCGCGACGCTCTCCTTCTACGCGAGTTCAACGACGCGATCAAGAGTGGTTGCTCGGGTCGTATCCTTCTGTCTCTGAAGGTGCTCGCCTTCGCCTACCGGGGACTTGGCCGCACGAAGTATGCGCACGAGGTCATGCACCTCTTGCACTCTTTCACCACTGTATGGCCGGAGCCTCTGCGGTAAAGATCTATCACCATCTGCTCATGTGTGCGCTGCTCACTCCGACTTCAATCTCCGCAGCGCAATTGTGTTGAAGAATTGGCTCGTGAACCCGACTGGCATGGAGAATTCATGGGTGCCAGTCGATCTCCTGCAGGAGCATATGAACTTGATGATCAAGGTATGTCTTCGTCGTCTCTGCGGAGCTGGTGGCGATGTTAAATTGTCCAGAGTGTCTACAAAGCTCACGGCAGCAACTCATCGTGGCCGTGGCTCGAAATGATATCGCCTGATGTTGTCGTCCTTCGCCATCTCATGACGCAGATCAACACCTACATGGGGGACAAGCTCGGGAACAAGCACAGCACGCCCGACACGACCCGCGATGTTGCATCGCTGCGAGAAGCAATGGAGTCCCACCGCATCTTCGTTGTCGAACAGGGTCGGGTGCTCACCGGGATGAAGCAGGCTGTCGTACCCAATGCTGTCGATGTCGGACAGGATGCTGTACTCGGCCCTCTCGAGGACTACAACCAGACATTCAAACGTTTGCAGGTGCGGCTTGCCCGTATACCGCTCCTCGACTTGCTCGCTGGCAGAGCGGGTCCGACACTGTCTGCCTCGGGGGTTACTACACAGGTCGGCCGAGTTTCCACTTTGTCCTACATGCCGCAGGCATCCTTACGCTCCCATGCTGCAGCCCACACAACCTGCCGATGGCACGGTGGAGAACGGCGAAGCGGGGGAGCCCTCCGACGACCTCGACAGCACAGCTGTCTTTGCTCGGGAGGAAATTCCACAATCATTGGCTGATATTGACTATGACTAGTTACTGTGCCCTTCTAAAATACAATTACCATCCCCCTTCATCCGCTTGAGCCGCGCGGGACTGTGCGCTGGCCGACGACGCGGGAGCACGAGCCGCGTGTCCACGCCGCGCACCCTCCGTGACGCCTCCCAACGCGACCGCCGTCACAAGCCGTCGCGCACGGGGGAGCGGCGTGCCCCAACGAGCCCGTTTGGGCGGGGGAGTGGAGCGAGGGGAGGGCACTCACATCACGTGATTGCCTTTTATGGTGCGCCTGCCAAAAACCCCTCGAGTTGGACCAGCCCCTTGAGGAGGTACAACGAAAAGGGGATGGATGATCGAGCCTAGGTCTGGGAATGCTCGAGACTAGGCTCGATCATCCATCCCCTTTTCGTTGTACCTCCTCAAGGGGCTGGTCCAACTCGAGGGGTTTTTGGCAGGCGCACCATAAAAGGCAATCACGTGATGTGAGTGCCCTCCCCTCGCTCCACTCCCCCGCCCAAACGGGCTCGTTGGGGCACGCCGCTCCCCCGTGCGCGACGGCTTGTGACGGCGGTCGCGTTGGGAGGCGTCACGGAGGGTGCGCGGCGTGGACACGCGGCTCGTGCTCCCGCGTCGTCGGCCAGCGCACAGTCCCGCGCGGCTCAAGCGGATGAAGGGGGATGGTAATTGTATTTTAGAAGGGCACAGTAACTAGTCATAGTCAATATCAGCCAATGATTGTGGAATTTCCTCCCGAGCAAAGACAGCTGTGCTGTCGAGGTCGTCGGAGGGCTCCCCCGCTTCGCCGTTCTCCACCGTGCCATCGGCAGGTTGTGTGGGCTGCAGCATGGGAGCGTAAGGATGCCTGCGGCATGTAGGACAAAGTGGAAACTCGGCCGACCTGTGTAGTAACCCCCGAGGCAGACAGTGTCGGACCCGCTCTGCCAGCGAGCAAGTCGAGGAGCGGTATACGGGCAAGCCGCACCTGCAAACGTTTGAATGTCTGGTTGTAGTCCTCGAGAGGGCCGAGTACAGCATCCTGTCCGACATCGACAGCATTGGGTACGACAGCCTGCTTCATCCCGGTGAGCACCCGACCCTGTTCGACAACGAAGATGCGGTGGGACTCCATTGCTTCTCGCAGCGATGCAACATCGCGGGTCGTGTCGGGCGTGCTGTGCTTGTTCCCGAGCTTGTCCCCCATGTAGGTGTTGATCTGCGTCATGAGATGGCGAAGGACGACAACATCAGGCGATATCATTTCGAGCCACGGCCACGATGAGTTGCTGCCGTGAGCTTTGTAGACACTCTGGACAATTTAACATCGCCACCAGCTCCGCAGAGACGACGAAGACATACCTTGATCATCAAGTTCATATGCTCCTGCAGGAGATCGACTGGCACCCATGAATTCTCCATGCCAGTCGGGTTCACGAGCCAATTCTTCAACACAATTGCGCTGCGGAGATTGAAGTCGGAGTGAGCAGCGCACACATGAGCAGATGGTGATAGATCTTTACCGCAGAGGCTCCGGCCATACAGTGGTGAAAGAGTGCAAGAGGTGCATGACCTCGTGCGCATACTTCGTGCGGCCAAGTCCCCGGTAGGCGAAGGCGAGCACCTTCAGAGACAGAAGGATACGACCCGAGCAACCACTCTTGATCGCGTCGTTGAACTCGCGTAGAAGGAGAGCGTCGCGGAGGAATAAGACAGCATTCTCAAATACCATGTCTCCGGTCTTGATGCCAAGAAGGGGATCAAACGGAGGGCGGTCTTCATCGTGATCACTCTTGCTGGTGACCTCGGGCGCACGCTCGTGTTCATCCAGATGTTCGGCGACCTCCATCTCGCGATCCTCACGAAGTTTGTTCACGGCACCAACGGAGAAGTGTTGATGGATCTTCAGCGCATGCGCCTCAAGCTGCTTGAAGGTGACTTCTGATGCATATTCCGGGAGGTCACTGACGTTCGCGACATTCTTGAGACAGGAGAGGATGCCGGCAGTGAGCGAGGTGAAGATGAGGTCACGGCAGGTGCGATAGGGAGGGAGGGAGGACAAGAAGATGGGCTTGCGACCCAGCACACTGTTGAAGAACGAGAGACTTGCCGCGTTGAGTGTGCCTTTGCCCTCTGGCTCACCAAAGTGGGTCTCGAGAATGCCGTGGATGAGAGCGATCTGGTAATGGAAGAGACCAGGTCCAAGAACAAGGCTCACATAGGACGAGGCGAGCTGGTCGTGACCAACACGGTGCAGGATGAGAGTACGGAGTCGGGCAAGAGAGAGCTGGTCGCCAAAGACGAGCCGTACAACCTCACGGAACCTAGCAGCGCCGAAGTCGAATTTCAGCTCGCGGCGGAAGATGTAGTCCAGAACTGAGGCGTTGCCAGTGACACTCGACTCGTCGATGTTCATGGTGGGGAGTGGGTGTATGGCAGTCTTGTGCAGAGGGATTTTGAGCCCGTCCGGAGGGAGGGTGGCGTTGACTTGCGCACGGAACTTCGCAAATGCGGGCTCACCGTGAACGATAACACGTAGGATGGCATGAATGGAGCACCTGTTGAACAGCTCCGTCTCGCTGGCAGTGAGACGGATATCCCTCATTTCGAGAGGTCTGGCGGTCTTGATGGATGTGACAAGGTCTTTGGTCTTCATATTGGCCGGTGGCGCGTCAAAGAGGGAGAAAATTGTGGCGCAGGTGCCGCTCTCTTGAGTGTCTTGATGCCCCAGTACCTGTTCGGAGACCTTGAATGTCATGTTGATATTGTCGTAGACATAGCCAGCCAGGGAAGAGCGAGCGAGTTTCCTAGCAGTCCAGCGGCAAGAGTAGCCTAGTCGCCGAAGAACACCAGCACCGCGCCAGGCTGATATGGGCGTCTCAAGCTCGGCCTCGCTGGAAGTGCGCGTTCACGTTATCTCCTGACTACACCGCACACTTGGACTCACCTCTCGCCTCCTCCTTGCCTGCTCTTCCCGATTCTCTGCTTCAGATGGTCTGTTACCCCAGCACCTGGTCCACTGCTCTCTGTGGCTGTTACGTCTGAGGGCTTATTCCAGCTGGAATACGACCTAGGCGCCTTGTGGTTATGGTGGCGATGCTCAGAGCGCTTGCGTGCTATCGAGCGAGTGCGAGCGACAACGAGTGAGATTGCGCGTAGTCAAGGTAGACGTAGTAGTACAAGAGGAGATTCAAGTCTGGAGAGGGAGCGCTCAGGGGCGTCGTCCTTATATACAGGTGGAGAGCGGGGGGAGTCATATTATCTGCGAGTCACGACGAGTCCGTATGAGGTGTTCCGAGTCCCTGCGACATAAGGTGACTAGGAGCGATCGACGAGTCATGGTGCGGCAGAGTGAGTTGAGATGAGTCCGTACGAGTCAGGGGGCAATCGATAGGTGTTTAAAGGGCGGGCGTATCGGGAGAGTGGGGTTATGGATAGAAATTAAATGGGGGCAACGTACTAGCGTCCTCGATCGTAACATCAGCTCCCTCTCCCGGAGAGGGTCGTCCCGACCTCCTACGTGGTGGTCGACGGCGTCACGTCCGCGGGGGCGCGCCCGATGCCGACGGCCGTGAGGTCCGAGGCGATCTGAATCGACACTCGATCGACGTACTCCTGGAGCGGGAGGTGAGCACCCTCGTAGTTCCGGAGTATGGTGATGATGGGTTGATCGAACTTCTCGCGGTAGGTGTCCATGATTGAGTGTCGACGATCCGATTCTCGATAACTTCGTCGCATGGGGCGTCGATGTGCTGGCGATGGCTTCGGCGACTAGGAGGTGTAGGTCGTGTCGAATCTTCGCGTGGACTTGGGGGAAACCGATCTCGAGGTATTCGTAGAGACGTGCGGGGGTGAACAGCTCCGGCCAGGAGTCCAGTCGCGCTCCGAGGTAGTGGTCGACTCTGACGTGGGCGGTGATTACGTACCGCCTGATCCCGCTTGGACGCGCCATCGAGGTGTGCGAGGAGGGGGTGACGAGAACAGTTCGTCGTCGTGGTAGTCGATGATCTCCGCTCGAGCTCGGCGAAGATGTCGTCCAGGGCGTCGTGGTGGCGGGGCGCGGGGATTCGTCAGGTCCAGTGAGGGTTAGTCGTGAGGAGCTTGCAAGGGTTCCGGGGGGGAGATTGAGGACTCCGAACTGAACTCCGGGTTCCGCGTTCGCGGTCTGTGCTCGGACCCAGTTGCGGTGGACCATGAGGAGAGACTGGGCTGCGAGGAGGTCGGTGGTGGTGACCGGGGGTTGGTTTTCTTTGTCGGAATCGTTTCTTGCGTATAGGGGGAGGCTGCGGCGTGGAGGTGTCTTGGGCGCGCGTTACAGCGGCGGGAGGTCAAGTACGGCATGAGGGGTGGGAGGTCGTCCGTGGTGCCCGTATTCGCCGGAGTGAGGGCGTTCCAGGCGGCCTGGTTGCGGACTCGTTCTTCGGGGCGGGCTCGCTGGGGGATCCCCATTCTACGATGTCGGACGGGATATTTCCCCAGGGGGGAAGGTGCTGCTGGTTGGTGGGAGTAGGTCGTCGAGGGCGGCCGCGACCTCGATGCTGGTGAGCTGGTCGAGTGCGACGTCGGCAGCTCGCGCGATGAGGGCCCGAAGGGTCAGCGAGGCCTCCTTGGCGACGGCCTTCTGGCTGGCAGGGGCTCCAGCGCGTTGCACGAAGTGGTCGACCGTCTTCCAACGTCGAACGCCTCGGTCGCGATGCGGTATTCGTTGACGAGGGGCTCGGTGTGGGGGATATGTTGGGTGCGGTAGCGGACGTGTCCGTGGAGGTCGGAGTGCGCGACGGTCCACCCGATGCGGTCTCCGAGGGTTCCGCGACTCTCGTTAGTGCGATAGAGAGTCGGAAGGTGGTCGTAGTTGACCTGGGGGCGGTTATTGATGAAGTCGGGGTGTCGTGGATGTCCGGCGTAGTGAGGCGGATGGGATAGAGGCGGGGAGCGCGACGAGGAGTAGAGCGGTGGTGGCGAGGCATCTTGAGAAGCGCATTCGAGGTGGGAGTGGGATGAGGGTCAGAGGAGCTTGTGTCTCTTCTTATATACCCTCAGGATATCGGGCGCGTTCTTCAAATGGTGCTCGGGTTCCCATGAGTTTTCTGCTGACTCCCAGCCCTTCCACGTCACCAGGTATTCCAATTTGTCTCGTTTGCGTCCTCTCATTCGGTGGTTAAGAATAGCTTCCACTTCATGCTCCTCTTCGCCGTCTATGACGTCAGGAGGTGGACGTGGCATGTCCGGGCCATGTGCTTTGGTGACTCGATATGGAGTCAGGAGCGCGGCATGGAAGACTGGATGAATCTTCCAAGTGCGTGGTAGGTTTAATTTGAACGTTACAGGTCCCATGACTTCGTGATAACAAAGGGTCCTTCTCGTTTGGGTGCCAGTTTCCTGTGTGGGTACGGGAGGCGGAGGTTGGTTGATTCTAGAAGGACCTTATCTCCTTTCTTGAACGAGACGAGCTGTCCTGGTGATCTCCGTGCCATTGCCGCGGCTGCGTGATTATGGGCTGCAATTGTATTTTCTTGGTCAGCTCGGAGGGCGGAGAGCCGTTCCTCCGTGCTTGGGTATTTCGGGTTCTTGCGTGGGAGTTTGACTAGTTGTGGTTGATAACCATAGAGTAGTTCAAACGGCGATTTCTTTGTTACCGAATGTGTTCGTTGATTATGCGCGTATTCGAATTCCTTGAGGTGATCTGCCCATTCGTTTGGGTTATTGCCGCAATAGAGGCGCAGAGCGAGGTCTAGTTCTTGGTTTACTCGTTCTGTTTGTCCATCGGTTTGCGGGTGATACGCCGTGCTCAAGCAGTTTCCATTCCCATTAGTTGTGGAGTTCCCTGAACGCTCCTGCTGCGAATTGCGGGCCTCGGTCGGATATGATCTTGGAGGGGACTCCGAATCGGCTGAAGACTTGGTCCCATAGTAGCTTTGCTGCTCCTTCTGCTGTGATATTCTTCGTGCAAGGCGTGAATATGGCCATCTTCGTAACGTCATGGTCGACGACTACTTGGACTGCATTGTATCCGTTTGATTCTGGTAGATCTGTGATGTAGTCGGTGGTTATGACATTAAACGGCCTAGTGTTCCCGCTGTGTGGGATCGGGAATAATCCTGTTTTGGTTGGATGGGTGTTGACTTTGGTGGTTTGGCATTTTGCGCATCCTTTTACGTATTCGGTGATGAAGTTGCGCATTCCGTCCCATATATAGTCTCTTTTGACTAGTTCAAACGTCTTCTGAATTCCCGGGTGGCCCATTACGGCTGGTTCGTGATAGGTTTTGACAATGTTGCGATAGAGGTTCTCGTCGGGTGGTACGTAGATACGTTCTTTGAATAGTAACAGTCCTTCTTCTTTCCAATCGCTCGGCTTGCCCCAGGCAGGTCGTGGTTTGTCAGTCGCTTTGGTCGTCAAGAACTGTATTAGATCCGGGTTGCGGGCTTTGTTGTTTCGGATTTGTTGGGAGATGTCAATTTGGACAGAGTTGAGTGAGAAAATTTGTTCCGGTAGCATGATCATGTCCTTGTTATCATTCTCCCCCTGTTCATGATCTGTTCTCCTGGACAGAGCGTCGGCTTGCGCAATTGTTTTTCCAGGGTGATGTTTCAACGTGAAGTTGAACTCGTTCATGTAGTGATGCCATCTTGCTTGTCTCGGGTTTAAGCGTTGCGCGGAGCGGAAATACGTTAGGTTTTGGTGGTCTGTGATGACTTCTACTGGGTGTGGTGATCCTTGCAATAAATGTCGCCATTCCTTGAATGCTCGAATGATTGCGAGTAATTCCCTGTCGTAGATCTGATAGTTTCTTTCTGCTTCTGTGAACGATTTTGATAGATATGCGCATGGGTGCCATATTCCGTCCTTTCCTTTCTGGCGTAGCACTGCTCCCGTTGCTACTTTGGACGCGTCGCATTCTACTTGGAATGGTTCATAGGGATCCGGCATCTTGAGGATTGGTCCGGTCGTGAAACGCTGCTTTAATTCTTGAAAGGCTGCTTCACAGTCTTCGTCCCATTTGAACGGAGTGTCTTTTCGCGTTAGCGATGTTAATGGTTTGACCACCTTTGAGTAGTCCTTGATGAATCGTCTGTAGAAATTTCCAAATCCTAGGAAGGCCTGTACTTCCTTCAATTTGGTTGGTTGCTTCCATTCCAGTACGGCTTTGATTTTTACTGGATCCATGGCTATTTCGTCGGGACGTATGATTGATCCGAGGAATTCTACTTCTTGTTATCGAATTCGCATTTGGATGGTTTTAGGTAGAAATCTAGTTCTTGAATTCTTCTGAGAACTCTTAGTGTTCTTCTGTGGTGTTCTTCTAAATCGTTGGAGAAGATTAGAATATCATCGATGTAGATAACCATCCATCCTTCGCGAATGAGGTCCTCGAAGTTTTGATTCATCATACTCTGAAAGGTTGCTGGGGCGTTGCATAGTCCAAAGAACATTACTGTGGGTTCATATAGTCCTTTGGGGGTTATAAAAGCGGCCTTCCATTCGTCTCCTTTCTTGATTCGAATGTTGTTGTATCCAGCTCGTACGTCCAACTTGGTGAAGTACTTGGCCCCTTTGAGTTTATCCATCAGGTCGCTGATTAGTGGGAGTGGGTACGCATTTCGAATTGTTCCTTCATTGAGGGCCCTGTAGTCTTGGACTGGTCGGAGTGTTCCATCTTTTTTGGAATGTAGAAAAATGGCGAAGCGAATGGGGATTTTGATTCTTTGATATACCCCTTTCTCATGTTTTCTTCGATGAATTTTTCTAGCTCGCTTGTTCCGTGAGGGTGAGGGGATAGATCTTGTTCCATCTCTTGTCCTTGTGAAAATCGAAGCCTGGTTTTAGATCGATTGCATGGTCCCATGGTTTGGATTCTGGAAATCGTTCTGCGGCCTTTTTTTCAAATATCTTGCGGTA